AAATAGCGATTCTCTTAAGATCAACGCCCACTCGCAGCTGCACCTCTGTTGAACAGACTCTGCAATTACACTTCAGCAAACCCTTAAACCCAACTGAAACTTCTTCTAGCCGTGACCCAAACATCTACACGGGTTATAGATCTTTCACAAGGGTTGGTAACGTTTCAGCATACCTGGAAGCTTAACAACGTCCTATTATATATTAAAACGTGGATCCTTTCTTGAGTTCATCAAGCTCGGCATAATATTTTCATTTTTGGGGTTATCATGGTATGCTCCACTTTTCATTATCCAGTCACAATCCTGGTCAAAAATATCTGACTTTGATGTCTTTAAAAAAGCAGTTCCGAGCTTAAAAATCAACTTTTACTGAGCCCACTTCCTCCAACGATACAGAGAGCACAGTTTCAACCTAACATGAAACTTTTTTTTCGTAGAAGCTAAAAACAATCTTTTTGTCAGAAACAGAAGCTGATGAATACAAATTATTATTGCCAGTAATCACCTCCTTGATTAGCCACAACAGGTGCAGGTGGTGTCATTTTGGGGGATCGACCCGAACCAATTTGTATCATGTATAATTAGCGCTTTGTAACTGCTGAAGCGATTTTCGACCGATCTCCCTCTCCAATTTTTGGTATTGCGTCTTGATGTCTTTTCAACGAATAGAGGGACCTAGAGTCTATTCTAAGCCGCCTCCGATTGGCTAATATTTTTTTATGAGGAGTCTTTATTTCATAGGCGAGACACACTCGGAGGCGTTGACATTCCCAGCCGAGGGGCGATCGCAATTTTTCAGAATGTCTTACCTGGTACTTGATTTATATGAAATTTAGTATACTTCTTTCCTTAGTTGATCCAAAGGAAGAAGTGACAAGGTGTAAAATCACAAAATCCCTGTGGGTAATTGTGATCACCTCTATGAGAGTTAACACGGTCGGAAAACTTTTGTCTTAAAAGATCGATGTATTCGTTGCTTGTGTGAGACGTAGCGACGTCTTGTTGAAAGTAAAAATTGTCCACCATAACTGTTGCTCCAACATTATTTTCGAAAAATTAAGGTCCAACGATCCTGCCAGACCATAAAATTCGCCAACAAAAATTTTATGTTTTCCGAGCCCCAGATGCGAAAGTTTTGCTTATTGACTTCGCCAACGCGGTGAAAATAGTCCTCGTCAGGCAAGAGATTTTTATTTGAAATTCCGTATCATTTTCATACACTTCAAGTACCCGATCAACAAAAACAAGACATTGTTGATGATCGATTCGCTTGAATTCTTTTGTTAACTGAACTTTAGAAACCTTAAGTTCTAATTTTTTATGGTGAATACAGTGTAATCACGTTGGTGGAATGTGTAATTCCAAAGAACGAAGAGGAATGGGCAAACCTGAGTTTTCTTCAACACTTTGGGCTACAGCAACATATTCTCAGTTGTCTCAAGAGCTCCATTTTCCATTTTCTGTGTTGCGGTCCGACAAGGTGCTTCATGATGACCGACAAATGTCGTTTCATTTTATCACTGGCATAGCTTTTACTTGTCAAATGTCAAAAGATTACAGTTTCAAAGGTAACATCTACCGGGACATCAGGCTATTCAAAATAATACCTATTATTGGAAAACCCTTTATTACTGTAAATTACACCAGGAACCTGGCCTCCTTTAAAAAATGTTCACAAAATCGAAATTTTTTTCCTGTAAATTGCTAGAAAATACTTTTAGAAATAATATAGAATTAGTCCCGAAGGTTCGTTAGATCAAGAATAAGCATGATACAATAATTTAAACTTAGATTCGTTCTCTCTTCGCAGTCGACTTCATAGCTATCTGACATTAAATGTGTTTCGGCTTTTACGTGCTACCCTCTTCTCTTATAAAAATCTACCATTTTTTCTACCATTTTTAAATAAAAATTAAGAGGGAAATTTTCATATTTTTTTAATGTTAAAATATTCAGAAATATCGTATTTTCCAACCCCTGATAGTGGACATCATCGAGTGCATGCCTTTCAAAATTTTTGTAATACAACTTCAATGAATTGTAGAAGAGAGAGGGAAGAGATTCGCCCAACCCAAATTTAAATCGATTTCAAGATGATGAAGAGCTGGCTGGATTTCTGATATGGACGTTTGTAAATTTTTTGTTTGCAAATTTTGTTCACAATTTTAGAGATGTTTTAAGGAAATTTTTTAAGCAAACAGAATATTATTTTAATAATTGTTGATTTTTTAGTGCAGTGCAAATCCATTAGAAAATACTTATAATTCCAAAAAAATATATACAATATAATATATAAAATATATTGATATTAGCTAGTTAGTTAGTTAAACAGCTTGTTCGATCAGGCAACCCTGACCTCTTGTTCTGCGAAGAAGGTTCCTCACACCTTTCTAGATACTCAAACCAGTTTAAGTAATCGAAGATGAAATTTCCGAGAAATCGATAACGGACCGCAGAGTTTATCGAGGTTATGACCATCCCCATCCTGTTGGCTCATCGACCCCGCAATCCCCTGGGTGTATCTATGACCTAAGCCCCGAATCTCTGACTCTTGGCTTATAGTTGAAAAAATCTAAAAGTTTAAAATTCGAAATGAATTGAAAAATGACAATTCTTTCCACATGACTTATCTATCTAGCTGGAAATAAATATTTTAAGAGATCCATCTGGGTTTCAATATAATGGCATAGGCTATTATAAAATACCCCCAAAAAAAATTTAAAAAATTCAAGTTGAAAATTTTTAAGTGGCCAGGTCAAACATTTCAAGCAAACACGTTTAAGTCTCAAAAATTTATAGAATTTTTTATCACGTAAGTAAGTATAAAAGTGATAGAAGAGGGGAGAGCGGAGCGCCTAGCGCACCAAGCGTAAATGCGACCGAACAAATACTTGAATGGCCTTTTTCTCGAAACCAGGTTTTTTAACTGGGTACCACTCTTATTTCGATCCAATTGAACTTATCAACAAGAACAATTGTTGTATATAATATAAAAAAAATTATAAACAATTAAAGTTGAAAAATATGGAAAAAATTAAAGAGTCAACCATTTTTTTTTTGTTTCTTTTTTTTTATGGAATTGTTTTGCTGTGTTTTCATAGCCAATGTTATATAGAATAAAGAACCGTTTTGATTTTTGCTTTCAAATGATTCCTTTTACAGTTATCGTCTCACTCACCAACAAAAAGGACGTGTTTCAGAGTAATTTTATTTTAATTTAATAAACATATATATAATATATGTATATTTATACGTCTACTTATCCACAAAAATTTTGATTTATTAATACATATATTGGTAAAGTAAAATAGTTCGTTCGGTTTTTAATTGACTTTTCAAAATATGATAACTTTGTGTATATTTGTCCGATATGTGATCCGTTTTGTTCGTAAACTTATTGCCAACGAAATACCAACTTCGTTATACCCTTCTCGAGTCACCTAAGATGTGTGTAGCCTGGCGTTGTCCTTATGGAACACAATTCGTCCTCAGTTGATCAAAGATGGCCTCTTCTGAATGAGTGCTGCCTTCGAGCGGTCCATTTGTTGGCAGTAGAGGGCCAATTGGGCGTTTGGCCATACGGAAGCAGCTCGTAGATTCCTTGATTCCTTGCCAATCCCACCAAACACACAACAAGACCTTCCTGGCCGTCAATCCGGTCTTGGCCATCGTCTGGGCCGCTTCCCCGAGCTTTGACCACGACCGTTTGCGCTCGATGTTGTGGTAAGTGATGCATTTTTCATCGCCAATCACAATCCGCTTCAGGAGCGGGTCGATTTTGTTGGAATTTAGCAGCGATTCGCAGATGGAAATTCGATCCATCATGTTTTTTGCGTTAGTTCGTGTGGCACCCAAACATCGAGCTTCTTTTTGAATTCAAGGTTATGCAAATGGTGCCAACTGGTTTTCTGGCTCAGCTTTAGTTCCTCAGCAATTAAATAAGTTCTCACGTCTGTTTCCACTATTTCCATGATTTTATCGCAATTTTCGACGACAGGCCTCCCGACGCGTGGCGCATCTTTGACATCGAAATTGCCGAAACGGTACCTAGCAAACCACTTTTGTGCTACACGTTCGTTTACAGTATCGGGCCCATAAGCTAAATTAATTTTTTCAGCCGCTTTGGCTGCTTTTTCGCCTTGATCGAAGAACAGTTGTAAAATATAGTAAATTTTCTCTTTGTTGGTGTCCATTTTTAACGAGCGCTCACAACGTCATTCAAAAAACTGTTAGAGAGTCATTCAAAAAACTGATGCGATTCATAACACGGGCACTATGGACAATAACGCCATCTCGTAGATAAAAACCGAACGAACTTTTTACTTTACCTCATATTTTTTTAAATAAAAAAATAAAAAAAAAAACACGTGTTTTTGGAAGAATTTGGCCCTAAAAAAACAACTTAATACTTTATTAAATGCATTTTCAAATTCCTGGCGGACGAAATCGGGTGTTGTACATGATCGTATTTGTTTGAATTTGCGTAATCAATTTTAAATTCTTGTTAGGTGAAAAAAATTTATGAGTTTCATTTCAAATATGCAAAGTTTATTAAGAAAGCAATTACATGACTAAACTTATATTGTAATACTGCTTTTCAAAAAAAAATATATTTAATTACTTAAATGTATTTCACAGCAGCTACGTGTATGTAGTAGTCCTTATCATACACCATTACGCATGCTCAGCCACATGAGCCATTCAAAAGGATCCCTAAGAGAACTTACTACACTCTGCATAATCGCATTATAGCAAAGTTACCTATTTTCCTCACTTCCTCAATCATTCACTCACTCTGTCAACTTCCTTCCTCAATTGATATATGAGAACTTATTGCTCATACTCCATGCACTTACTCTACACACACACATACCATAGCACCTAGTGTCCACTTTAGAAAGTTTCTTGTGTGAGAACACTTCGTTTCACTTAATATTTATTTTATTCACAACGTGTCCAGTCAAATTCAATTTACTTTATGATTTTTTTTCTTCATGCAGAACGACAGATAGCCGTGTATATATGTATAGAGGTACGCATGCTGGCATTGTACTTGACACGCATACAAATAAATTCATAAACATACATAAGAGTATATATTAAATATATATATATATATATATATATATATATATATATATGAAGTGTAAGTCAGACAAAAGAAAGCGTAAAAACGGAAGTGCAAAAAAGGGATATAAAATAAAATCACAATATATATTAATAACAGTGTCAAATCATATAAACGTTTACACATTGTTTCTACTACCTGCTACAGTTATAACAATAACAAAGCGTGAATAAAATAAAGTAAAGTAAAGCGTAAAAAACAATTTAACAATTTGGTCAGACTTGTGCGGCAAGGTCCACAACGAAAAGTGTTGCACAAGAAATAAACGGTACTGCACTCTAGCAAATCACCGACTCTACTCTACTTTATCGGAAGTGTATTGCACACACCCAAACACACCTTCCTTCTTACACACACACACACACATACGTTTTACTGCCTGCCCAAGCAGTCTGAAAGGAAATATGGATCTCCATAATTTTAACAATAACATACATAGTAACATAACACTGCCATCCGCAACAACAACACCAGCAACATCAACATACTTTACATACAGCATACCGGGTATGGATATCACACCAGGTCCGGTCGCCTTTACCTATGTCAGTGAATTTTTATCGCTTATCACGCCAGCGGAACTGCCACTCGGTAAGTTTGTAAGCACTTTAAAGTTAGTATACGAGTATACTCGTATGATGTACATATGTATGTGTAAAGGAAATGAATGATGTTGGAGATGGTGAGAAAATGCGAGTTAACGTGTGAGATATGCGAATGCATGAAGTTATGCACTCGTTTGATGGTGGCGAGTGTGTGAGGATTAAAAAATTTATACATTTTTCTGTGTGTTCACGTTCTTTATGCAATGATAAATATGTATGTATATGTGAAGTATTTAAAACATCTTTTTTAAGTTTCTACAGAGTAGAATGCTCTGAAAATGCTTGCACCACTTTTCACGAGAACGGGGATCTGTATATCTTTATTTTTGAAGCTGCAAATTTTGGTAAATTATTGCAGAAATTTCTCTTATCCACACAAAGCTACAGTTTTCGCCTATTGTGGGTACTCCCAGGCGCAGCTTATTCTGCCCAAACGTACACATTCAATCAATTACTCACACATACTTTACCAACACCGGAACCATCATAGGCTTCAGCGTACTTCCTTACTGGAATTTACTTCTTCCAATGGAGGTCTTCCGCTTCCTCTGCTTCCACCAGCGGGTACGGCATCGAAAACTTTCAAAGCTGGTGCATTCTTATCCATCGGGACCACATGATGTAGCCAGCGTGCCTGCTGCGGTATTCGCCTTTATCAACTCGTAAAAAAAAAACATAAACAAATAGTAGGACGGCAATGATAAGTTTGGTTTTGGTTCTTCGAGAGAAGACCTTATTTTTCAATTGCCTACTCAGTCTAAAGTAGCGCCTGTGGGCAAGAGTGATTCTGAATTTCCAGGCTGACATTGATGTTCATGTTAATACTGGTCCCAAGAGCGACGAATTCGTCTACGAAAGCGAAGTGGTGACTGTCGCTGGCGTGGGAGCCAAGCTGTAGCTGCGTCGACTGTTTGTTTGATGACAGGTCATCGACATACGCCAGCAAATGTAGACTCTTGTAAATGATTGTGCTTCGTCTTTTTAACTCTGCCGCTCTTATTATCTCTTTCGATAAAGAGTCATCATGTCTAGTAGCTCGGAGAGATTGTTCCCAATGCTCAGTCAAAGGTGAAGTCCAGCGTCCTTTTATACAGCCGTATAAGTTTTGCGGGCACACCAAAATTCAGGCGTAGCGGCTTTGAGGCTGTTACTTACTATGTTACTTACGAATGCAGCTTTAAAGTCAATGGAAAGTTGATGTATAACCATTCTTTTCTCACAGGTATTTTCCAATATTTGACGCCTAATAAATATCTGGACAAAGATTGATTTACCAGATCTATATTTAAATAATATCCACGTAATTGGCGCACACTTTGGGGTTCCCATTTTATGGATTGCGCTGATCACACTTAGGTTCCAAAAAAAGCTGATGCTTGCCCCCTGTAAGCTCTTCACCGCTAAGAGTTTACATAATGCCAATGGTAAACCATCAGCTCCAGCCACTTCGTTGTTCTTTAAGCGGGCAATCACTATTCGAAACTCGTCATAGTCGTGTAATCTGACGTCTTTCCCGTCATTATTGATTAGGGTTTCGGATTCAGTACCTCCTGCATTTTTACTGCCATTCAGTTGGCTGGTAAAGTATTTCCTTCATGCTCAAGTAAGCAGATATCTACATTGGTTCCTATATTAATATGCTCCGACCTTGAAACCTTCTTCCATTTTTTCATATAGTTTTCGAGAGTTTCCCCTGTCGACCAGCTCTTCATACTATAATATTTCGGGTTCTTCCTTTTTTCGTCTGCAAAGGCGTCTTTGTTGCCTCTTCAGCTCTAGGCGAAGAAAAAATCAAATCTGTATCCGTCAGTGTTATTGATGACCGTCAAATATACTTTCGACGCTTTTTGCAGCAGTTTGTCTTCTGTTACTCCACCACGTGAGACTTCTTGCGGAAGGATTTGGGTGTGAATTGAGAAAATGTGTTCAGTGACGAAGCTCATTTCGGCTCATATTATGGCCAATATCTATTATTGACTAACTGGAAGCCAATAATGAAGAATTTATTCGTGAGATAACGGTCTATAGTAGGAAAGAGTATATCAAAATTGATTTAGTGCGTAGCTGCCGCCTACATTTACATAACATATTGACATAATCTTTAAACTTTAAGATATACTAATCGCCTACTTTCCATATAAAATCCGACCATCAATCAATCGACTCACAGTCAGACATTAAAAAATATATTTAAAAATAACTAAAAAAAAAAACAAATAAAAGGCAGTGGATATTTCAATTTTAATGACTTGGATTTACAAACAAGCTCACCGAAGATAGTAAAATATCATATCAAAGCATCATCAGAATGGTATTACATCACATCAACACATCACCACATCAACTAAACGCTGCCGGCTTATGGCCAGCATACTCGTACTTAGGCCTTTTGGCTCATTTTGACACCACTATTAAGCAGACTCTTCCTCCTCCACGTTCCCGCCACTGCGACGAAAATGATTTTGGACGTGCTGCACTTCCTCGAAAGTCTATTGAGAATCCTTCATCATTTTATTTATTACCAATTTTAGTAAATTTGTATTGTACAGAACTGATGGCAACTTGGCTGTCGGAGTAAATTGCCATAGATTGATTAGTGATTGTAGATTTAATCAACTTTTATAAGCTTCTTAATTATATTTAAATTTTCACATTCTTCCTCTTAGGAATCCTTGCGAAAATGAGATTTTTAAACGAACCGAATTTAGAGATTTTATTTTTCCAAAAATTGAAGTTGCAATTGAGGTGCAGCGACAATTCGCTGATCCTTTCATATTTCATGTCTAGCTATTCCTTTTAAAGAAACACAGTGCTTCGACACTATTTGTCAAATTCCGTTCGGATGATGTTTCACTCAACGATAAGCCAGGCTCAGGTCGGCCAAGTGAAGTTGATGGCGATGATATCAAAGCTTTAATCAAATCGGATCGTCATGTAAATAAGCGTCCGATCGGAGAAAAGTCTTGGTTTACCTCAACCATTCATAATTATAAACGACGCCTTAGACTGGTAGAAAAAAACTTGATATTTGGGTACCACATGAATTAAAAGAAATTCATTTGACAAGTCGCCTCAACGCTTTTGATATGCATCTTAAGGCAATGAATATGATCCATTTTCGAAGCAAATCATAACTAAAGATGAAAAATGGATTGCTTACAATAACGTCATTCTAAAACAATCATGGTTCAAGCATGATGAATCACCACAAACCGCTTCAAAGACTGATATTCATCAAAAGTTGATTATGCTGTCAGTTTGGTGGGATTGGAAGGGTGTGGTATGTTTTGAGCTGCTTCCAAAGAACCAAAATAATAATTTGGTTGTCTACTGTGAGCTACTTACTGGACAAAATTGAAACATCCATCAACGAGACACGCCTAGAATCGGTCAATCGTTAAGGTGTCATACTCCATCAGAACAATGCTAGAGCGCACACATCTTTGGTCACTCGCCAGAAACAGAGAGAGCTTAGCTGGGACTACCATTTGTTTTGATCTTTGCAGAACTTAGTAAATGGTAAAACCTTCGAAAATGACGAGGCTATAAAATCGCACTTGGTTCAGTTTTTTGCAGATAAAGACCAGAAATTCTATGAGCGTGGAGTAATGATGTAGCCGGAAACATGGCGAAAAGTCTTCCAACAAAATGGAAATTACATAATTACAGTATGTCTATTAATTGTTTGCAAAATGCCCACACAATTCAAAATAAAGTGAAAGAGAGTGAAAGCTATGCGTGGCTCTATTACATTCAATTCGATCAATGCTTTGGACAGTTCAGATCTTGTTGATTTAGCGCTTTTAACAATGTCTGGCAAACGAACTAATGAAAATCGTATTCAGTTAGTTTATTTTAACTACCACATAGGGAAATCGGCTAAGGAATTAGCAGAAATGTTTTCCATCAAGTTTAGAAGAATTTAAAACATTATTAAAAAGAAAACAGGTTGGAATTAAAGCTCTCTGGAGGCAGACCACCGAAGCTTTCTAGATGCGATCATTCAAAAATTGTGATAACCCTCAAACAACTCTGAGAAAATTGGCGTTTGATATTAAAAATGATTGCCATAAAAGAGTAAGTCACGAGACATTCCGAAAAGTCTTAAAAATACACTACTACTCCTCGCAAATAGCTAGAAAGAAGCCATAGTTGTCGTTAGTTAATATTGAGAAGCGGCTCGACTGTTCTATTATCAATTTTTACAGAACTGCGGAATACTGGGATGACGTTATTTGTTGCGACGAGACAAAAATAATGTTATACGATCATGATGGACCCAGTAAAGTTGAGAGAAAACCCAATACAGCTTTCCAAAAGAAATATATAATTCCAACAGTAAAATTTGGTAGGCTTTCTGTAATGGTTTGGGGTTACATTTCGTCGAAAGGTCTCGCTCAGCTCCGAATTTTCAATGGCGGTATAACGAAGGAGTTTTACTTGGACATTCTAAAGAACGAATTGTTAAGGAGTGCGATAAGATTTGGATTTGTTGACCATGAAAACTCTAATAAATTAAGGCATAAACTGTACCAGGACTACTCCGAAATAAAATATAAATCCTTGCTGTGGAGGCCGTGGCTACTATATAACTGCAGTAAAGTAATTGTTGCTTCTGCCCAGAGCCTTGACTTATTTCCCATAAAAATAAACATTGCGACTGAAAATAATCGAAATCGGTGGAATATGTCATATATTATATGTAAGTATAAACTCACGAATAAAGTTCTTGTAAAAAGATTTCATTCCATTTTTTGGTAGAACATTAAGCGCACGCACACCAAAAATTGTAGTAGGAGCTCGGCCGAAAATTACTTCTGTGGTTAAAATTTATATATTTTAAGATTTTAGAAAAAAAATATATCTTTTTTCAGTGTGCCTTGAAAAATGGTCAATATAAATAAAAATTAATATATTTTTGAATCTTTCAAATTATTGAATTACAGGGTGTCCCAAAGTTTAGTAAAGTGTTGACAACTCTAAAAAAAAAAACAAAGCGACAGTTGACAATTTTATAGCGATAAAGCTTTTTGGTTTAATTTATTTAAAATAAGAAAAATTAACAAAAAATCCTACTTGCCACTTTAATTTTTGCTCAAATCCGCGTGTTTAGTGCATTTTTACCCCGTTGTGCGTCGTGGATAAGGATGGCAAATTCTAAGAAGCTCTCTGCAGCGCATACTCAGTAAAGATCTGTGTCTCTATGCTTAAAAAATTCAACTAACACAACAACTGAAGTCTAATGACCATGTACAGCGTAGAGAGTTCGTTTAAAGGATTATTGAATTGTTGTTTTTTTTCGAGCCCAATCATCCTCAGCTGGGATGGGATTGTTAAACGCCAAAATTGCCGCTTTTGGGGTTCTATGAACCCACATGTGTTTGTCGAAAAAGCAAATGCAACCACAACTTATCACTGTTTGGTGTGGGTTTTGAGCTTGAAGCTTAATTTTTGAAAATGAAAGTGTCTGTTGCTGTATGATTTCAACGGTACGGTGCCACATATCATACAGCAATTGTAACAATTAAATTACTGCAAGGGACATTTCCAGGCCGTATACTGTCTCGGTTTCGAGTTGGCCCCTATTCTATGTGCTTTAAGTTTCAATAAAAAAAAAAATTCTATTTAATTCACATTTGCGTTAATCTTCGGACACCCTCTATAATCTTCACAAGGTAAACGTATTGTATAATTCCACTTCGTTATTAGACTATATGTCGATTACATTGATCATTTTTCACTCATTTAAGTTACAGAAATATTTTCATCTAAATTTCAAATCTAATTTTAGAGGTTCACAATCAGTATAAACCAAAAATTAAAATGCCATCAACTAAGCGCGATTACACAAACTTCAACCTGCAATATTTAATATATGTATGTAGTTCCCCAATTACCAAACAATATGCCTTTAAATCGCCCATCGAGCTCTTCTTATACCTACATATAAAGCCACATTTAATGCTTCCTCCAACCAAACCCAAGCCAAACTAAGGCCACCCGCTACCTACATACAAGTAGGTAACAGAGCCCCAAAATATTGCAGTTAAATACAAATGACCAACAAATAACAATATTATAAACATACAAACTAACATATGCAGGCGGATAATATATGTAAAATTACACACGTATGTATGTATATATGTATGTGTATATAAAGTGAATTAAGTCGCATCTAAAATATATTATCCTGGACAGTCGATTGGACATTTTAACGGCACAGTCGTGTCTAATTTCAGAATTTAGTGACGCCAGTTAAGTGCACTCAAGCGCGACCACCACACATACTGGTCAAAGCCTACAAACATACGGATATAAATACATCTTTGTGACTATACATACACATACGTACATACATATGGTTATTACCAAAGAGTGTTATGATGCCAGCGAAGCGAGTGAGAAGGTGTGGGTGAATAATGTGTGAAAATGAGCTGTTGAATTTTCAACGCGCAAACCGAAATACGTATAATGTGCGGAGGTGTTGGTAAAATATTTGCTCAACACACATACATGTATGTACATCCACTTGTATGGAATTTTGTTTCGATTGTATTTTCGTTTCGATTTGTATGGACACTTATTTACATGCATTTACATTCACACACATTTGCACTGGATAGACAATAAATTTACTATAAATGTACGTTCACGGCATTTTATTACGAAATTATAGACTATTGACCAAACTATTTATTGCTGTTTGCGGCAAGGGCTGCATGTATGATATATTCACGTTCAACATGTACTCGAGAATAGTCGTGGATAAATTTTGTGTGCGTAGACAAATAGTGGTAGGCAGACACCAAGCTGATATTTTTCATTATCACTGTTATCTCCCTGAAAGTAGAGCGAAATTTAAGCTCCACACGGCTAAATTCTACTCTACATTTTGTAGGTTCTATACGAATATTTTATAGACACATTGGCTTCTAAGTAGAATATATTTCGCTGTCTTGTTGAATCTAGATAAAGAAGCTTTCCTAAAGATACATTACAATTAAAGGATACTAAGTTCGGTGGATGATATTGTTTTATGGAGCATGTCTCTCGATAGCCTTTCTATCCGAACCGCTGTCATTTTTTTATCACAAGATCTTTAGCTCATTGTTTCAGGTCTCTGGAATGAAGCTTGGTGAGTGTTGAACTTAAAACAAGTGCGTCTCTCGCCATTATCGACCTATTCTCATCTAGCGATAGCTGAAGTTCAGCTAATATTTAGCTACAGAAGCCATCTTCAAAGACTATGCGCTTTTTTATTTTACACCCCTTTCAAGATACAGGAAATTAATAAAAAAAAAATCGACAACCTGATCTCAGATGATAATTAACATAGAGTCACCGTTAATGCTCCCCAGATAAGGCACTGAAGAGCTACACGCTTATTGTTGCTAAAAGTTCGGTGTAACCCAGCAGCCGGCGATATAATGATTCTTTGGGATGCCAGCAGAAAACCTCGGTCAAGCATACATAACTGAAAATATAGTCATTTATCCTCTCCCTGTACAAATCTAGATTTTATTTTAACAACTTTAGGAGTATCCATTGATGAGTACTTTTATTTTATTATATTCGTCATTAATGAGATGTGAAGTAAGAATAAAATATGATTACGTGACATCACATGATATGAATTTGTGAAAAGTGATTTTGATTACGTTCGGTAGGGAATGTTAACTCCGTCCGTCAGCCATTCGAAGGCGTCTTAGAATAAACTTTTCCCTACATATACATATACATTTTAATTAGAATTATTATTATTGTAGTAAGTGAAATTAAGCTTTCAATTCAAATCATAGGATATTTGGAGGTCATACCCTAAATCACGTGACAAACGATGCATACATATTATATATTCTTATGTTGAAAACTGAATTTCAAGTTGGATTGCAAATTACAGAATATTAGTAGGTCATTCTATGTCAAATCATATGTTGGTAAATAATGTGATGGTAAGTTATTGGTATGTTATTGGTGTGATGTAATATGATGTGAATGTTTTAATTTTCCTGATGTGAAATAAAGTAATTTATTGTTGTGAGGTGAGCGTGAGGTTTTGATGTGATTTGATATAGGTTTTTATGTGGTGTGATGTGATATAGGTTTTGATGATGTGACGTGATAAATGTTTTGATGTGATGTGATGTGAAATTATGTGATATTGGTTTTGATGTGATGTGATGTGATGTGCTGTGATGTGCTGTGAAGTGATATGATATGATGTGGTATTATGTGATATGATGAGCTATGATATGATTTTATATGATATGATATGATGCGATGAGAAATGATGTGATATGATATGATGTCATAAGATATGATGTAATGTGATGTGGTGAGCGATATTTTATGATGCCAGTTAACATGAGTAAGAGTGAATCGTTCAAAATAAAATGATGTGGCTTACATGTTATATCTCCATGAATTATTGGATGTTATATCATGTGTCTTTATTACTGAATGCTAAATAGAATGATAAATTTCTCTTATATATAAAATATTTAAAGTTTTTTAATAATTTTTTTTTCTTCACAGATTTGGTGCGTGAGTTCTTGCATTCAAACCTCACACTGATCGATTTCACAAAGGATGTAAGTATACAACAAAAACTAAATTAAACTAATATTTTTTTTAGCAAACAATAAATTTCTTTCCGATATTTACTAACTTTCTTGACCAAAGAATAACTAAGTCCTTGCCCTTTCATATAATTTTCTGCTCATTCAACTTTTCCACCCTCCCTCTCTCTGTGTAGGCGATCAAAATCGAGTCCGGCTTCATAGCCATCATGAGCGTCTTTGCCATCTTGGCGCTCGTGCCGCTCATCTCCACCTGCGCTTGGTGTTGTGGACGTCGCGTTGATCAGGACGAAGCGGAGTTCATACGCAGCGCACCTGTCAATATACATGATGATTCGTTACAACAAGCGTTGAATTGTCGAAGGAGTGCGTCTGTCGTGACACTCTGGATAACATTTTTGCTCTTGGCGTGAGTATTCAAATGTCAAAGGCAAATGTCAAATTGCTCTGAATGTTGAAAAATACACCAATTTTCTGCTTTTGTTCACTTATTTTTATTATTTTTCTTTTTTTTACTTTTCACCACACTCTTCTCTTCAGGTTGAGCGATTTTTGCATATTTTATGCCAACAGCCGTCTGGCTGCGAATGTGGAAATGACGCCCGAAATGGTCAAATCAACTGTGCACGACATGGAGGTATTTCTCAAAGACACACATCTGCAAATCAAGCACAAGTTGGATAACGGCTTTCATGTAGCTGTCGAAAAAGTTGTCAAGGATTTGGAAGGTCAGTATGTGTGTTCACTTGTAAAATGTATGTGGTCGGTTATGTGCCTACAAGCGCACACACACACACACACACATCGACATATGTATGTTTGTAGTCGTAAATAAATTTTTCTTTCCATTTTTTGCATTCAAAGTTATAATTCATATTTTTCCCATGCCATCGAGTCTCCTCGTATTCCCTTTTTTGTTGTTGTTGTTTTATGTAACTCAGTGCCTTTCTATTCACTCATATTATTTATTTGATTTTCGTCCGTTATGCTGCTGGCGGCCATTCGTCTAACCAAACCTACTATCTGTCTACCCCAATGGAGTTGCTTGGACATAATGGACATTCCTGCACCGTTGAATTATGTACGTATGTATATGCATGTTCTCCACATCTACTCTGCAGACGTCGATGTTCTCCTTGGGGAGCCAATTCAAGCGGAAATTTCAGCACACACTGGCATTGAGCTGGCATATGATTCATTGGCGACCATCAGCTTGGGTAAGGTGAAATTGTTGGAGAATTATATTGTAAAAGCTTTTGCACAAATAGTCAGTGAGCATGTCGGTACCAGATAATATTTGATGAAAGATATTTTAGGAGTAGTCGGTCCGGTAATGCCAAGAATTATTTATTATTTATGATTACTTTTAAAAATGTACACATTAAAATACAGTTATGGTTTTTTCAGAAGACAACAACTCAATTTAGGTTTCACGTTTTATAGATCAAGCTAAATAATTTAAAGAACAATTTATCTCCTTGAATATCGGTATTTCGAAGGAAGATACTCATCACTTTAATCTCTATGCCTCAATTAAAGAGTTTTCGAACCAGAAATAAGTAGTGATCTAGTCAATGAGTCATATATAATCGAGCAATCGACACATCTTTGCAGCCACCATATCTCTCTATTCTCTGAAGGTTGCTGCCCCTGGAAACTTCAACGTTATCTCTGAAATTGCATAAAACAAAGGAAATGCCTTAAAGTTACTGATTCTTCCAGGATGCCCTGTAAGAAAATCATATTTTCAGATATATCCTTTATTTTTGAGGCGATTAGCTCCCGTGACCTTCTTTTATCCCATATTAGCCTCATTGTAACCTGTCCGAGATAAACATCTTGAAATATCTCGTGAAGTCGGCGAAGCTTATGCAGTAGTCTGTATTTGCTGGTAGATATAACCTTCTTAAGATATAATTAAGAAAATGGCTTATACTTTGAGGCCTCATAAAGTTAATGGGGATAAGATCCGAGCACCTATTCAGTTGACGTGGCCCGTAATATTTCGTAATACTTCTTCATTCCTCCGAATTCTGTGACGAGCTCAATTTTTTCCAGAATAAAACACAGATACATTACAGACGCAGTAATACGCTGCAACGTTCATGAAACACTAGGTCTTGAAAGACCTAACACTAGGTAAGTGAAAGAAACAAGCTACGTATTCTGTGGATTAATCCCTAAGTACACCGTGTGGTGTTTCTTTGCTTCCTAAGAGCGGATACTCCTGGAAGGTTGTGCATACGAGCAACTCATATGTAAGAGTAATTACCCAATGGTCGATGCTCAGAAAAGTCAGAGCACAAGTGCGTGAGTCGGTGCTACAATATTTAATGCAGCCTCAAGCCTCTAACCAAGATATATTCCTAAATTTTCTAATGTTTGGAATGTCAGTTACCAGATCACTTTACTTGTTATTGCAGGAAATAATTCCGGTTTTAAGCCATCTCTAAGTCTTCTCATTATCCCAACTAGTTTTTAAGCACTTCCCCTGTTGATAAGTTTCTCAAGTTCTTACACTGTGGGTAATCGGTTTTCTAAGATGTCCCAACGTACATCTCTTTCACCGCCTATGCATTCTGCCAACTACGAGGAAATCTGTTCCACTTGTACTATTATAAATTTACAAGCGCACGAGAGCATATTCTCCTATTATATATTAGATTCTAAACTGGACATGTTTTGTAATAATAAAAAGGATACTCCCAGTACACGAATACACGAGTATATAGTATGTAGTTATGTATGTATGTATGTGTATTACAAGTAACATAATCTAACAAAATATTTATTTTAAAATCTCATCTGTATTTGTTCTGATGTTTTATTGAGCGCATTATGAAGTTGGACAAGTTATGACTAGATAGTTGGAGAATTTCATATTATTATTTTTTTATATAATAAGTATTTTCTATTACATTTCCGAACCGACCTACCCGTGTACGTTTGCATGAGTGCATGTTTCTCGCACTTGTATTAGTTTTTATTATGACTTTCCAAAGTTGTCACGGTACTTGCATTATTTTTTATAAATTCTCTAGTTTACAGCACGACTCAGTACCGTAATTTTTTTTCTCTCTAAATCTCTTACTTTTTTGCTTTGCTCCACAGCCAACGCCGAGTTGATATATCGTGTATTAATGCTGCAGGAGACCGTGGGACGAGCACTGAAAATATCACAAGAAGCCGCCGCACGCATGGAGGAGCTGCAAATACAGCTGTCCGTATTGCAACGTCAATGCACCTATCGTGACCGGCCGCTCTGCGACACGCTGCGGATACGAAGTTTCGAAGAGAATGGCATTATTGATGCACTCAAGACGGTTGGTTAGCCGAGTGAATGCTCTGTAGTTTTGTAGTTATGTTGTTTGTATGTAGTTGGAGATTGGAAATTGTTGTAACGGTAATGTTTGTAACTGTAGTTTGACAGCGACGGCAGCAGCAGCTCCGTTGTTTGACGTTTATTTGCGTACAATTGTTGTCAAGTTTTATTTTTTATCATTTTTTTATCTATTTTCCCGGCATTTTACTTTCTTGTAGCTCTCCATTGGTGTTTTACAAATGAAATTTTCATTTCACAGTTGCTCTACACACTTGTTGTAGGTACTACTGCAGTTGTCGCTAGTTATACTTTTTATTTCATTTCAGTTTTACTTTTTAAGTTATGACAGCATTTTCAACTCCTCTTCTCTGCGGTGTTTTTTCTTGATCTCCTCATCTATTCATATACTTTATTTTTTATTTTTATTTTTGTCCGGCAATTTGTCAGCTGCAAGAGGACCAGACAATCTTTCGCATGCGTTACTTGGGCGAAATTGAATTTGGCGCAACTGTCAAGAATTTGACATCTGAGGTTGGTGTGTCACGTTCAATTTTCAGCAATTTCCCACAGCAAGTAAAACACGATACAGCTTATGAGCGGAACTGTAAGTAACGAGTGAATTGTTTACTACACTTTTTCAATTTTTTTTATGAAATATCTGGAATTTAAAGTCATTTGTACCCCACTTAACTGTCATTTTATCGCTTGCCCTTACTCTTTACTTAAAAGTATGCAGCACACACAGCATATAACATGACATACGTGTAAGCATAGCTTAGGCGTCTAATCGCTCAGAATTATCAGATTTATGTCGGATATCCACCGTTTTGCAATTAGCCAAATCTTCACCAGCCAATCGCCATAGACAGGAATAGATAGGGATTCATTGGTGCGAGGTCCGGACCACATATAAAGTGGATGCATAAGAACCTCTAAAATATGCTCTCAAAGCTTCTATCGAGTCGCTATCATTGTGTGTGGTCTGGCGTTGTCCTGATGAAACATTATTCCCTCCCTGTTGGCGAGTACTGGGTATTTCTAGTCGATTACTTCCTTCAGATTATCCAAATGCTGACAGTACAGATCCGAATTAAGAGGGCATAGGGAAGAAGATGTTGTTGTATTTAATAGCGTTAGTACATTAACCCCGCTTAGGGACAGATTTAAAATCAATCTAAATCACCGAGGTCATCTAACAGGAAGTCCAGGAAACGTTCTGTTTCGACGGGATCGGACCCGAGGGAGAGGGTAGTTAGATGTGTCGGCTTAAGGGGCATGTGAAGAGGTGGTTAGTGTTATGCGGAGACTGTCCACATGCTGGAAATACTTTGGGTATATTGGGATCAAGACAGGATAGGTAGGAGCTTAGCCTGATACAATACCCAGTACTAAATTGTGCTAATGTCACGCGGGTTTCTCGAGACAGCTTGAGCTCGTTGTCTGCGATAGTTGGTGGTTTATCTCCGAGTACGCCATTCATGGTAAGGGAGTAATTGAAAGTATTGACTGACTCCTATTGAATGGCGTTCAGTGCCTGTCTGTACGCTGTTCTGTCCAGCGGTTGTTGCAGGTTTAGCTTCTATTAGGTGTCTATTGGGGTGCTCCCTACGGTAACAACCCAATAGGTACTGCTTGCACAGCAAATCATTATGCATCTTAACTCTTAGCATAGATGCTTCGCTGTGCAAGTAATGCTCCGGCGGCATCAGACGGTTCCCTGTCGCGGTCCTGTGGACAATGTTCTGACAAGCCTGTAACTTCTTCATCTGTGTCCCGTTCATCCTCGGCGCCCAGATCGGTGTAACACAGTTTACGACCGGCCGGCCAAGGTTTGAGTATTTTGTTGCGGCTCTGGAGCTTTGGGGCAATTGACAGTGAAGGAATGCAAGCTGTCGAGTGTGACTGCTAGAATCTTGGGGTTATTTATTTACTTTACTGACATGACTTTACTGACATAGACAATGATTCAAGCGTCACATCTAATTCTAAGTGAAGAGGACAGCCGATGATTTCCTCGGTTGTATTTTTAGTTGTCTTGCAGGGAACGTTTCAATAGGACAGAGACACCGTCTTATAAAGGTCGAGTGAAACCAAAATGGCTGCAAAACAACGTTTCGAACTTCATAAGGTCTACACAATGGCACACGCTAATCCGATTGAGCCATTTTGGAGAGCAAGGTCGAAACTAGTGGGCAGCTTTCGATTCGTTTTTGGATCGTCTGAAGGTCATAGTCAAGGCAAAAGTTCGTATCAAGCAAAAGTAAATTGTTTTCGAGTTTTGTATAATTTTTACACATCTTAGACTTTGAAAGGATAAAAGTGATTTTCGTTTTTAATTGGAGTCCCGATTCTGAGTAAGAAGTCACAATTGCATGGCTGTGCTCCACTCCTACCCATGCCACCTCGTCGCGCTTCAGTGAACGACGACGACACATTTTCCAAAGATTATGCTTTGAAGAGCTACATTTCGATAGATCGCTCCCTTAATTGGGAAGGTACTGGTGGATGTACTCGATATAAGTACGGCTGACATCCCCGCCTTCCAAGAGATACAACAACCATATAAATGACCTAATATTTGGTGTTAGACTTCTAGTGGAAGAGGATCCACGTCGCCGGTAGATTTCCTTTAACAGAAGGATGGTGTGGCAGACGTACCAATAAACGCTGCCCTTGCAATGATTTTAAAGTCAGGATGGCCCCTTTGGCCCAACACTCAATAAATTTAAAGTCCATTATGAAACATCTCCGGATGGGCTTAACCAATTCGACCAAGTTGTTGTGTTTTAGATGTGTTCACGTTTCAAAGTTTTATTTAGTAACATCTTTCAAAGGAAGAACATAGGGAAGGTTGGATATCGGGAAGCTACAAATACAACAACAACAACAACAACAGCATTCATGAAAAATCACTATACGAGAACTGGGGGACGCGTTTTCAGGTTCATACGTGGAACGCGAAGATATAGGTCTTCATTAAAGTGAAAGACTGGCTTGTATGTTATCCTAAACACTATGTGTTTGAAGTAGCTACCGCATTTGAACAGTTTTAATGCCCCAAAATTATTTGAATACATTGGACAACCTAAAGAAGATTTCAAAGTCGGGTTATCTGGTAGCCGATGCCAAGAGAAAGCTCGTATTTAGTTTAAGGAGGGAGCACTTCTTCAGTCTGCTGAAAATGAAACACTCGGAGATAGTTAATCCGAACTTCCCACTTGACGGGGTTTGAACAGATGTTTCATTATCCAACTATGACGAAATTCAAATAGCAATTGCTCGCCCGAAGAGCAACTCTTAACCATTGTTGGCAGTTCGCACCCCACATTTTTTTTTCGGGGGACGACACGCAGAAATTTATGTAGCTTCAGATTTCTGGCATTAATTAAAGGCTCCTCATAAAAAACCATCAGCCGTTCGAAGGCGGCTTAATATAAATTGTAAGTCCCTCTATTTGTCGGAAAAACATCGAGACGCATACCTCAAACTGGAGGAGGAGCTCGGCCGAAAATCGCTTTAGCCAATTATATACATACAATAAATATATAACATTTGCTAAGCAGCACTTTCAGAAACCTGAGTGTTTCTCAAGTAGTGAGAGGAATTCAAAAGACTCACTCTTTTCTCAATGGCATTTGCTAGAAAATTGATATCCGACACTGATATATATTCGGCGGTTTAATTATCTGTCTTATTTGACGGAAAACCGCCCGAGGAAGGCAACGGATGTTTGTTTTCATTGATCGGCATTGGGCGGCCGCAATAGTCGAGTAGTTAACATTGCGCACAGACATTCGTAAGACCTTGGTTCGTGTCTAGTTCTGACCATACATTCAAAATTAATTTGTCTGATTAAAACCGACATGGAATGTCAAGCCTTCCGAGTTTACGGGTATTTCTAGCATGAAATAAAAAGCTCTCCATAAAAATTCATCGAATGAAGAATTAGGACAAAGGCGGTGACGCGAGGACGTTATGAAAAGCGGACCTACCAAAAGGATGCAAGTCTAAGAGCGTCAGTGGCTTTAAAAGAGGACGAGCTCAACTCTAACTCGAACTACAAGGCAAATAGTGATTCAGGAGGGCCAAATAAATAGCAAAAATAAAGTAGGAAAATTCTAATTAAAAGCACTGAACAACATTTACTCATCTTATTAGCCAGCGAAATGACCCTGGGGCAAGTTTTAACAAACTGAAATGCATAGAGGAACTACAATTCCAGCTCAGGCACAGTTAAAATTCATAACTTTGCCGGCAAATATGTACACTTCGATTTGGGCTTCCATTAATTTTGGGAAAATAACTGAGTTTTTAATGAAATTACCAGATTACATATGCCATCTCCGCGTCTTGCCCTCTGCAAATAGCTAAACATTCAATTTAACCTCACTTAATTGACAGCTGCAAGCGAATTTTGCGCTTAATTTACGCTGGCCAAGCAGTAAACAACTGCCAAAATGCTTGATTAGATATTGCACATGTACATGTGTACGCTTGTGCGTATATATGGTTATATATTTCTACGTACATACGCACATACATATGTATGAATGTAAGTAACGCCATTTACACGCCGTTAACGTTCTACTTCTACCGCCTAGAATGAACATTCAGCCACACACAGCCCTGCACATGTTGCTTACACACAATCTAATTTTTCGTTTTTTTTTCCACCACCACAGATACCCTCGAGCAACTGGAGAGTATACGGCATCGCACCAAGGCCAACGCGCAAATGCTCACATCGACGATTAATGCGCTGCTCGAACGCCTACAAGGCGTTTGGCCCGCTCTCAAGCCCAGCTATGAAGAACTGCAAAGTTGGTCCAACTCCTACTGGACAGCCGGTTGGGTAGCTGCTCTCGTCATCGGTTGGGTGCTGCTCTTCGGTCTCATGTCATACTGCTGCTTTCTCTGCGAATCGAATGTAAAAGCTGGCGTTGTTTTGATGATGTCCGTACTGATTATCTGTTTGGGTAGTATTTGTATTACCTTCTACGGTGTACTAACACTGGCAATCGGCGGAAATACGGAAGTCTTTCTATGTCGCTCCATGTATGATGAAATAAATGGAAATGGTGGCGCTGTCGGTTCGACTGGTGGTAATTGGGGTAACAACAATCAACTGGCAGATGTATCCGATGCGTCCAGTTATCATTTGTTGGGTAAGTTATTCGATAAGCCTGGTTATGTGTACGCATATGAGCCGCAGACGGGCATCATCGGTGAACTACTACGACCGGGAGGTGTGAATCGCTCGATTGTGAATGTTAGCCTCGCAACGGCGCTCAGGTATGAACAAGAAAATTAGTTGGAGAAACTAGCAAACACCAGAACAAAACACCAACAAGTAGACGTTACGCCAAATTGAGATTGCCGCACTAGCTATTTGATTCAATACTCCAATGTACATGGTCTATAACCACCCGGTAGGAGTAGATATTGCTTATTTGCTTACCACCTTACACAGTAACGCTTACCGTCTCCGTCGCATATATGTATATGTTTGTACGTATATTTATGTATACTTGTAGTTAACTTCCCTCCAGCGTACACTTGTCATAGCCGAAGTCGAAACCGAGCCAGTGACTCTAGCACAGCAAATCGAATTGCCGAAAAAACTACCGTTACGTAGGAAAACCATAAATCCAATTAGCTTGATATTGTACGTGCTTCTTTTTAATTCACCGATCTGCTGGCCCAACCCCCGGCTCATCCAGAGCGCTCGCATGAAATGTGTTCACATTCGATACACGCACCCCAGACGTCGAATTTTGCGGCTCCTTTAGCTTGACGCCATTTTTCAATATTACCAATATGAACCTGTTTTATTTATTGATGAACGTAGTCTGCTCCTTCTCCAATACACCTACATTACTATGCTCCGTATAACGCTGTAGCGGCTTGCGTAAGCGTTATGTTAATATCTAATTAAGCATAATGAACTATAATGTGATATGGACACACAAATCCTTGTAGGAAATACCCTATAAAAATGGCAAGGAAAAAATAATTTAATACAATTTTTTTTCTGTCAGATTTAGTATTTCTGTCCCAAAAATTAATAGAGACCCATAATTGATAAATTTGACTCATTATCTTTAGCAAGATCACCAGAATTAAGTAAATCGAAAAATAAAATAAAAATATATTACACAATTGGTGCTTTTGACCGAATGCCTCCTCCAATTTGTGGTATGTGTCTTGATATTTTTCCAACAAATGGAGGGATACCCTCAGAAAGCTTGACCCCCCGTACCAAGAGGCGACAGTATTTAGAAAAAATAATTTTCTATTATTTTTTGTTGTTAGTCGGACCAGGACTGGAACCCTGATCTTACGAATAGCTGGCTAGGCTATCGCAGTCGCCATTTTCCTTGAAAAAATTTTTATACATTTTGTCTGCCTTATCGCTCACTGTTATGAATTCTTATATGTAAGAGAACATACTCTTACAACGTAACCCGTTCAAGAGTAGAAGAGACTCTTCAAAATAATTTGCTTGGAGACAGGAGTGGGAGGGACCCTTATTGGCACGTAGTCGATATTACCGGCAGAACGTGTTCAATTTACGGATTTTATTGTACCAAAAATAAATCTTGGTAAACCATCGAGGAAACATACATTGAGTACAGTAAATGTGCCTCACGTACGACCTCTAGTCGTTAAAGGGAGTCTGAAGCCCTCGTGATCGACGATGTGATGCAATCTTTTTTTTTTTGAACTGATTAAACGACGATTCGCAATGTCAAGCTTCGAGTCCTGTTGCGATCCACATTCAAAATTATAGTAAAATAAATTTTCTAATTATAGTTGCCCGTCGGTAAGGAAGGTCAAGCTCTCTGATGGAGTTTGTATAATAAAATTAAGGCACTTTATAAAAATTTATCGGTCGTTCGGTACCCACTGCATATTTTCACAACAGATTTTTCTTGTTAATAATATTATTTTTTTCACTTGTAAGTACCTATAAGGTAGAAGAAACCAAACCATAGAATTTTTTTAATTTTTAGACCGACAGACCGGGTTGGGGAATTTATTCTCCCGGACTCTCAGTAGACATGAGCATGAGAATATCGGGCGGAACTCTTCGCAATCCTGTAGGCCGCGGAGTGATTGCATAAATCTACGGCAGCAGGACAATAGGTTACTATATACTCCGATAGTCAGGCTGCGTTTAGATCTCTGTAACGGTAACTGGCCATACACTGTAGGAACACTCTCAACAAACTCTCAACAAAGTACAGTCCTGCCGTGGTCTGGGTACCTGGACACAGGGGCATCCCAGACAATAGCATGACTGACGAACTAGCAAGGGAAGGAACCCTTCTATCCACGATAGAACACGTACATGATGCTGGTTTACCCTTGTCCACGGCTAAGTACATGCTTAAACTGGCCTGCACTAGGGAAGCTGAACGAGATCACGCGACAAATCTAAACATCATAGTCTTCTAGACCAGCTCTCCATAAGCATGGCGACGGGTATAATAACTGGACACTGTTTAATGGGGCTTCACGCGATTAGGGTGGGCTTTTACTCTAACAATTTCCGCCGCTGCTGTAAGAATGAAGAGTAGTAGGATACTATCAAGCACTACCTCTGCCACTGTCCAGACTTGACATCCGCGCGGCATAAGTTTCTTGGAAAACACTGCTTCGACTATCTTGCTGAGTTGGCTTCAGCGAACATTGGATATCTCGTTGCCTCAGCGGTATCACAATGGGCCTAAGTGTGGTGAGATTTAGCAGCAGGCGAATCAACTTAAATCAACTCGGAGAATATATTCCGACTCAGATTTTAATCAACTTACATGGGTTTTTTTTAATTCCTAATGGTTTCCACTCGGTTCCCGAACCATTAGCACGAGGCGAACACTTTAAAATCGATTCTCGAAGGAGATATAATGTTACTTAGTTTCTGAGAGAGGAAAGACTCTACTTAGTTTTTGGTTAATGAGGAAGCCTAACATAAAAATTTCTTTTGCATCGTTCTCTATTTAATCGTAGTAAGTTTATATAAAGGGTTCTCCAATAAGAGGTGCCATTGTGAATAGATTGCTATACCGGTGTCACTTTCGAAGTTTTAATTTTTTGACATTTGAAAAGTAAAAACTACGCCAGTAATAAAAATAGAACGATACACGATTCAACAACGCCATGAACTGATTAGGCCTATCTCCATCTAAATGGCAACGTCAGCAAGTAAAGCTGTCGCATCTGGGACTCAGAAAAGGCAAGTTTTACTGTTGAAAAGTCTTTACACCCTCAACGTGACTGGTACGATTTATGGTCCGGCAGGGTTATTGGACCTTACTTTTTCAAAAATGGTGCTAGAGCAACAGTTAAGTGGAAAGCATCGCACTATAGAGAGATAATTAATGTTAACGATGGGAATAAGAAGGATCTGGACAATGTCTACTTTCAACAAGACGGCGCCGAGATCTTGTGACTTGCCATCCTCCTTTAGAGTTATGTGAAAGAAAATAGCAGCACCCACAGGCCAACTTCGATGAAATTTGTGAAGCTATACCGCAGCCACTCTCTGATTTGGTGTTGTTAAATTAAAAAAAAAAGAAAAAAATACGGTATTGTAGCGTTACCCTGGCGCTGATATTGTTTTCCATTCCATTCAAATAAACACCCGATTATTTATCTCAAAAAATTCCAATTTTCTTTGAAAAATAACACTTCGGTGTACAACTTTGCTTCCGCCTTTTTCCGATAGGTGACTGTATCGGCTGAGGCTGGTTGAAATACATAGATGATAATGCCTTTAAAGTGGGTGTGGACAGTGCCCAACGAATTGCCATCGCCGTTTCAGTGACAGTTGTTCTTGTTTTCGTATTATTCACGCTCGAAAATGTCCGTGTATGTGCCTAGCTCTCGCCATTTGCGGGAAGTTTTACTTTTCTGTTACAATTCGAAAAAAATGCAGCTGAAGCACATCGAATCGTAACCGGTGATGAAAAGTGGGTTCGATACGATAATCCTAAGCGCAGAAAATCATGGGGAAAGCCGGGGCATGCTTCTTCGTCGAAGGCAAAACCGAATATTCACGGCGCCAAGGTTATGCTTTGTATTTGGTGGGATCAGATCGGTGTGATTTACTACGAGCTCTTAAAACCGGTTGAAACCATCACAGGAGATCGCTACCGAACGCAACTGATGCGTCTTAGTCGCGCGCTAAGAGAAAAGCGGCCACAATATCAAGAGCGACATGACAAAGTCATCCTCCAACACGACAATGCTCGGCCTCATGTCGCAAAAATGGACAAAAAGTATCTGGAAACGCTGAAATGGGAAGTCTTGCCCCACCCCAGATGTCGCCACTTCTGACCTCCACCTATTCCGTTCGATCAGTCCTTCGAAGAATTGGAAAAATGGATTGCTTCATGGATATCGTCAAAAGAGGACTCCTTTTTTCAAGCCGGGATCCGAAAATTGCCGGAAAGATGGGAGAAAGTTGTCGCCAGTGAAGGACAATACTTTGAATAATATATCTGTAAGCACCTTTTCGCTATAAAGTTTTATGTTTTGGAAAAAAACGGCGGCAGCAAAGTTGTACACCTGATAACTCTGTAGGTTCTAAGAGAAGTTTCATAAAAGGCTTTTGATTCGTTTATCCATATACGGTCCGATCGTAGGTCCTTATATATTTTATATATAATATTTATATTAAGATAACCCGAGTAAAAGTTAGAAAGCTATTGAAGATAGGTGATATGACCTATCGAAATAGTTTTTTAATAAGCTATCACAAATTCAAGAATTTTAGAATCCATTTATTGCGAAATTTAGATAATTTTTTCCGAGGCATATACCGAAAGTAAATTTACCGAAGCTCCCACGTTCGGAGGAATTTTATTTTCATGATATTGGCAACACGGTAGCATACCAGATTTCTCCCCCTTTGCAAATGGGTCGGTTCGAACGGCCAACACTTTGTGAACTGTCGTCGCGGCAAATTATTTCGTGAACAAAGTCAATACAATCTCCTGCTAAGTGCAAGATACGCGGCGTCGTCCCTTATCTTGTTTGGAAGGAAAAACATCCATTTGTAATGAGTTGAAAGCTGCGTATGGTGATGAAGCTATGAATCGTACGAGTGTTTACAAATGTTGTTGCGAGTTTAAAAAGGGTCGTACATCTGCGCACACTGAACAAAAGAGCGGAAGAACTTTAATTATGACTAACGAATTGTCTAAAAAAAATTAAAAATATAAAATGCGCTCCGTGATGATCGCAGATTGACTTTGTATGAACTTTCTATGATGTTTTCGCCAATGTCTGGAACTCTACTACACGAAACAACCACAGAAATTATACAGATATTGGAAACTGTCCGCGGGAAAGTGTTGTCGTGAAACACATTATGTCCTAAAGTATCACATAATTATTTTTTTAGCGAAAAGTTGTTAAAACCTTTAAAAACTTCGTACGCTTACTTCCTTAATATACCTCGCATTTCAATGCTCCTGCGTCAAGTGGTCAGATTTTGTTATGAAGTGAGACAAAATTCCCAAAAAAAAACTTTTTCTAATTTCTACTGCTAAATTCAGTTATTTACCCTTTATGTAACCCTAAATATTAAATAGTAAGCCATAAATATGTTATTGAATATGTTATTTAAACTCTAATAAATAGATTTTATTTCTGATGTTGCGTCACATGAAGTCAAACCTTTTTTAATGCAACTCAATTTCAGTTATAACTCAACTGTATAATAAATGTTTGTATATACTCGTATTACAACACTAGTTCGATACTTTAAAATTTATCCGCCTCACCATATAATATCCTTGTAATTAATACCCTTGCAACTTCTCCATTCAGACTAATTAATTGCGTTGGAGCTTTCAGTCGTTTTCCTCCTTCTCTCGATTTGTCAAAAGCTCTCTAGCCTGTCCGTTTCTTCTGCCGTATTTTTGTTTTGTTTGTCGGTCGTCTAAATAAACCGCTACAAATTATCCCGCCCACTGTAAAAACCGCAACCAAACCAAACTGAACCTAAAACCTCAGCAAAACCAATTTTCAATGTAATTCTCCTATAAACAACTGCAATGCCCACTACATACACGTACATACATATGTACATATGAATAAACACACATATTAAGCATAAGAGATACAAAACATTCATTCTATCAAATTTCTTTATCACTTGTCTTATCGACGACCCCTCCGCCGGTCCTCTTATATGTACGACTCTTCATGACTGCAATACTCGAAATAATCTTTAAACCAACACGCCTATACAATTTTCGGTCTAAACACACACAAACATACATTCACGCCTACTAACTATCAACGGTTATGCATTACATGGCTCCAACGCCTTTTCAATGGCTGCTTAACCTCAAATCACGTTTCTTCATATGCTTGCGTGTGCGTTGTTCATACATTGACGTTGTGTGTGTTTTTGTGCGGTTAATTTATCTGTGTGCATTCACACATACATGAACACACATACATGAATAAACGCACATGAGAGCAGAGGTTGTGAACAAAACCAAGCATCGTACAATGTCTTCCAACTGGATGCATTCGTTAATACCACACAAATTGCCGATTTAAAGCAATTCCCAAAAGTGACCACTGCTATTGATGCAATCACCGTATCCGAACGTACCATGCTCTCGCTGACGCAGACCATACAGAATATACTGGAGAATATGTTACACACTTCATCCTTCAATCTAACCACATACCGGGTTAGCATTGGTGCACCGACGCCTGAGAAGGATTTGGCTACGTTCATCGATCAAATGCAAAGGGTAGCACTGCAGGTAAGCGTTGTTGCTGGGACGAATGCTATTAAACTTTGTAATGTAATTTTATTTTTATAAGAGCTTGAAGTTTTTATTATTGACTCAGTGGGAGTTGCTAGTGGAATATGCTTTGAATGTTTACTTGCGTGTATTAATGGCAAAAAACGTTATGCACTCGATGGTATGAATTATAAATGAAAGAGTCTCTGGTCTATTAGTTTAACAGACATCACAAGATTGACGAAACATTTTAGGAAATTTTTTGGCAATACAGAACTTGCACTGTAAGCAGCCTCAGACCGCCATAGCCGATATCGTTCAAAAAAAAAGTGATTTTTTTTCCATTATTTCCACTTTTTTGCCTTGTGTCGGTCGAACGAAACGTATTTGTTGAACCCGTTGTATAATAGCCTAACAATAAGTTCTAAAATCATAATAACCAGTGAATTGCAGCTTCAGTCCATTCGTAGTAAAGGACGACATATGTATAGTGTTGTTCTTCAAAGGACTTAGAAGGCGGGTTCTGGGTTGAATTTGCAGTTTCCTCAGGCAGAACTGGTTGACTCGAATGGGTTTCACTTAAACTATACCAGGCCCAAAGTGTTACACGATACTCTACAAATGACCAAAGTTTTCCTCCTACAATCTCTATGTTGTCTTTCTAGTTTGAAGATGTAATAGTTTGCTTGAAAGTTTTGCTTTTTTTCAGAGTTAAGTGGTTTCTGCCTGCCGGAGACCAGACATTCCACTGTCACAACATATTCACTGTATTTTCTGCCTTTTTTCTTCTCTACCAGACCTAAGTTGAAGACATGCGTCTCCTTACAGCCTTTAGTTCGGACCTCTTTTTCGCTGGCAAAAACTTTGTGAACTGTTTTTCATATAGTTTGCGAGATTGTGCAATCCTAATCCCAGTCCTAAAGTGTGTTCGCGTTCTGTTCTCACAAGACGCTTTCTTTTACCATTGCATTAGCTATCTCACTGCCTTCGATGTTTATATGAACTGGCGGAAAGTAAACTTGAATCCTTCTTTTTTCTATTAGCCTTCTCATCGCCTGTTTACATAACTCAACCGCGATCATCTTTGCACTATATGAAATGAGGGCTTTAAAAGCCACTGGTTATCTACATAATTTTGTTATCTTTTCCTATGAAAGCCTGTTCTCTGCAGAAACGCTGTCGCCATTTCTATAACAAATGTTTCAGCGTAAATACTGCTTAAGTACTGTCTTTATTATTGGTTTCAGAACCATTTGTTAAAATATGCAGGTCTTCCTCTTCCTCTGCTTTCACCAGCGGGTACTGTATAGAATAATTTTATCCATTCATACAACATGGCCTGGCCAGTGTAGCCGCGTAGACTAAAATATCTACAGCCTAGAAATTGACAATGACGTGGGAGCCGAGTCGCGAGAGGGATGCTAATTTGTTTGATGACAGGAGATATCTCGTCTTGTTCTCGTTCACACCAAACCCATTCCAGAAAGGAAAACACACGGCGCTGTTGTGTGTCGATCCTCTTTTCTGGTCAATGGTTAATTTACCATGTCTAAAGCCACACTAATCAGGTCGACTCATTTTTTTGACGATAAGCTTTAAGTACTCACGCAAAACGCTCGATAGGACCTTATATGCGATGTTAAAGAGACATATACCAGGGTAGTTAATCGTAGACTATGGGGTCGCCCTTTTTTGTGATTTAGCCGGAGTACACTTAGGTTTCAATTGTCGTTAACTGTAATCCACCTGTTAATAAGTCGTGATATGAAGATGTAATGAAAATTTTTCGGTTAAGTCAGATTTATCCTGTATATGAGTTCTTTTTGCCACAACTTATCGACTCCTGACTAAGCTAAGTTTAACTAAAATACCTTACTAACATCATAGAGCCGCAAAAACCGAAGTGGTGATTTGGTATATTTTCGTATTCGTGGGGAAAAGAAGATATTTTGGTAACGCTAATTAGACGATGTGATGACGACACCGCGGTGTCTTTTCCGGGTTTGGTTAATCTGATAATTTGTGACTTTTTCCTAGCTCAAGAAAGCTCAGAAAACACCGAAGTTTAAAGATGGGTTTGAAATTTTGAAACAAGAAAGCTTTTGATATATTATGTGCGGTTTTTTGTATTCGAAGATGTTATAATGTCAGCCGAGGTTGCGCTCACTACGGGATTAGTATCAAGCCATAGATAGATAAATATGAAATTGAAAAATTACCAGTTGCGATGTATTCCAGTCTAATATATTGTAGTTCGCATTTTGTATTTGCTTGCTCAGAATGAACTCAAATGCCGGTTCTATATTTGAGTAGTTTCTCAAAAGCTGAAAGCTCCTTTCAGTCAATCAAATTTAATTTTTTCTCAGCAACTTTTACTATTAGCTTAGATGAAGTAGATCGATCATTCTACAATAATCGGCACAGCGGACGCTTTTTGAGGGCAAAGGCTTCACACTCTTATATCGAAAACCGATTGGAAAGAGTTTAACCATAGGCTTAAGAGATCTGCGACAGTTCAGCACAATTATAGAGTCCATTGTAAATAAATCTAGGGCTTTAATGGCTGTAACGAAAAATGAAAATATTCCTTCCAATCAATTTTTGCTCTTCTAGCATCTAAAAAAGTTTTGTGTCTTGGTTAACTTTAAGAAATCTAAGCGGGTTCTTAGCTCTTATATATAGTCATGGTTAGCGTTTGATCAGATCAGTAGTCTGAACTTTGTTTTTACACCAGGAACTAGGCACGCTTTTACACAATTAAAATACTCTGTAAGAAATTTATAATCTAAGCTAAGCCACAACATGGTTCTTTCGGGGTTATTCTCTAAAGTTTCACTTATTCATTCCATAAAGCGCACAACTTACGTACATATGTATATTAAATAAACCGAAATATACTCCCAGATCCAAGACGTCGCTACTTCATCGCGTATGACCACGCTCGGTAGTCGCTCGAAGCGCTTGCAGGCGTCCATTCTACAGCCGCTTGAGCAGCTGCAAAACGAAATACTTTATCATCTAACGGCTTTGGAATTACAGCGGGATCCTTGGGCTAAGCAAGTTAATCAGACACTTAATCACTTACGTAATGTGCAGGGTTATCTAGAAAAGACAGCGGGTGAAATTTGCCATAATCAAACACGCATCTACACGGAGAGGTTCATTATACATTTCTTACTGGTTTAAGAAATGGACAATACATTTCTTGAATTTCAGATTAAAGGCTTACTTGACTAATAGCAAAGCGACAATGTCCTCGCAACTGGGTGACACCACTGCCAAGTGTCGGCCTTTCTTTGACATCTTCGATGCGAATCGAATTTTCCTCTGCCGCAATATCGTGGATCATATCAATGCGTTGTGGTTCTTTACTTTCACAACGCTTTTACTATGGTCAATCGGTACCCCTGTTGGACTTAATCTTATTACAATACAGCGTCGCATAAATCAATTGCAACGCGCGAAAGTACGCTCCGCTGAAAGATCGGATAGTCGCAGTCGGCGTAGAGAGCGTGCCGTCAGTTCCGCTACACGTGAGCCGCGCAGTGCGAGTCGACCGCCACCGCTGTAAGTAGTAGTAAAAAATAATAAAATTAAACATTTTTATGCATTAATAATTAATAATTTTTCCTTAAAGCCGTCGCTCAGCTACCGAAGAAACACTGGACATCGCTACGGAAGAGTCACCGCCGACGAGACGTGAGCAAAGAGATGTTCGCAGTCGTGATCGCGAGGCAAGTCGACCACGTGATAGCACCGGTGCGAGCACACCAGCACGTAGTCGCACACATCAGTGAGTAATGAGCTCAAGCGAAAGTTTTTAGAGTTTTTTTTCTACGATTTGCTCTCTTAATTTAGGCGTCGTACAGGCACAGATGCAGAGGATAACTGGGGCTCATCAAGCGCCAGCCGTGCCACATCGGCAGAGCGTGAGCACAGTCAGCCAAGAATGTATACGAGTAGCAGTAGCGCGCAACAGCAACAGCAACAGCAACAGCGAAGAGGTCAACTGTAAGTTTGAATTTTAGGGGAGTATAGTTGAGGCGACGTACAATTGTCGATAATCCAAAGTTCAATGGATATGTGAAAATAATTTGTATATGTACTAAAATCAGTGTCAGCTAAAAGATTCTAGTTTTCTCTTAACCTTTCCTTATTAGACTTTAGTTCTACTTTACATAGCTCTAAGCATTTGTTTAACAAAGTCTTTGAACTCGGACCCCTCTTATTACTCCGTTTCTCTTGATTATGTCTTTTCAAACAGTCGCAGGCAAGGTACAGAGGAATTTAATTTAGAAGCTGAAGATAATTGGCAGCCAGCGCCAACAGTCAGCAGTATGACTGCCACAAGGTCTGAATCACGAGCTGGCATTAGACGCGAGCAACGGGAACAGCCGGTATATACCCACAGTGACGCTCGCAATAAGCCAAAACTGTAAGTTGACCTTTCCAAAACAAATAGGAGCATTGGTTGATTGACCTACGGTTCCCAACCGACTCATTTTAGACGTCCATATATATACGGAAGTTGCAATAATATAGTAATTTATTATTACTGCCCACCGTACCTAGCAGTATATCTCTCCTATCCTGAATCCAACGGTAAACCTCTCAAAACTGAAAACTCCGTTGTTATTTTAAGAACACCCTCCTGAATACCAGCTAAACAGCTCTTCAATCAAATTACCAAAAATATTAGAGCGCCCAATTCATAGTTCTTACTACATTCCAAAAGGCAACTGCTTTTAGCAAACCTAAACACAACATTCCAGGCCTCCTCATGCAGGCTCTCCCACCTGTTTCAATCTTTTCTATCAATTTTATCACTTTACTTTATCTTTTCATATTATACACTGCTTTATTTCATTATTAAATAGACGCAAGCAAGGCACAGAAGAATTCGACTTGGAGGCTGAGGACAATTGGCAGACATCACAAGCAGCCGCTACACGTTCCGAGTCACGCGCTGGCGTAAGGCGTGAGCAGCGAGAGCAACCGGCGTACACACATAGTAACGGACGAAATAAACCAAAGATGTAAGTCCACGAGCAATTTTTTCGTCAAGCCCAAAATGATATGGAAAAAAATTTCAACATAAACATAGTTAAAGTAAAGTTAACTGCAGAGAATATGACAACCTTATTCCTGGAATGTCAACTTTACTTCCACTAAAGATTATGTGTGAATTATTCAAATTACCAACCACTAACTACTTACATCCTCTCTCACTCTCCGTATCCGTAAGACGTCGTACCGAACGTGAGAAATATGAACGCCCCTCTCGTCGCTCAATGACGCCTGTTTTGCAACCTAGTCCCGATGCACAGCAAGCCCAACCAATGCCGCGTACACCAACGCGTCTGCGCCATCGCGTGACATTGACAACGCGCGCCGTCGCCAATTTAATGCGTGCCGGTAATACGCGACATACGAGGCTGTGAGTAGCTGTTGTTGGTAATTTTAAGACTGCACGAATTATGTTAAGCACTTTAAGCCCGCTACAAAGTCCGACACCCTGTTAAAACCTTAAAATATTTGAACACAAGTCTTTGTCCTCCTGCCCTTACATTAATATCTTACTTTTAGTCTATCACTTGTCAAATTTGCCTCTCTTACTCTTTAATTATTCTCTCGTTGATCCCAAGAAATTCCAATTTCTCTTTCTAGATATTTCCCGAACCTAGTTTTCTGACCATATTCATATTAGCAGGTTTAAATTGTAATAATATTTGTGGTTCCTTTTCTTGTAGCCAACGTAGTGGTACCGAAGATTTCGAGATCGAAGAGAGCGAGACATATGGTGCGCCCGCGCAGGACTCAGCTGCTGTGGCTGCGTAAGTATGATAACTATCATATAATTAATTTTGTAAAAAAAAATGTTTAGACAGAAATTGAGGGAGGAAAATAAACACTTCGTCTGCCTTTAGTGAACGCTAAACAATCCACAGCACTTCCGCTCGGTATGACACTCATCTAAGCATAATAAAGAAATTAGTCGAAGAAACCAAAACGACAATCTAATAATATATATTATATAATAGTGGAAGCAGAGGGGTGATCTAGTGGCGGATGCCTAGACCCCACTAAATTTATGGAGGTAACAATTCCCCAGCGTGCTGCATGGCAGTAAAAATGAAATACCCGGATATGGCGAATCCGACTATGAAGAGGTCCGAATAGCAATAGCCTCCTTAAAAAACAACAGTTATATGCATCAGCTTCTTTGCAAAATATTATCGGATCAAAGCATGCCCACGATTGGAACTGTGTGCTCTGTCCAATCCAAAAAAACAGGAGATCCCATAGTGCCAATTACCGCGGCATAAGCCTCCTTAATATCGCATTTAAGATCCTAGAAAGGGTATTGTATGATAGACCAAAGGCCACCGGCAACAAACTGATTGGAACTTATCAATGTGGCTTTACACCTGGTGACTCAACCATTGACCGGATTTTCACCATGCGCCAAATCTTGGGAAAGACCCTTGAAAGAGGATTTCATTTTCATTTTAACGGCGCCGTTAGTTCTGCTTTATCCAGACTTAATAAGACAAGACGAAATATCAACTGTAATCAAATAAACAGTCTTCACTTTTGCCCACAGTGCTACTTTGGACTGAGGAGGCAATTGAAAAGTTAAGTCCTCTCTATGCTAACGAAAACCAAACTCACTCGCTCATCATACCCGTTCTACTATATGGCGCAGAAACGTGGATGATGTCAACATCTGATGAGTCGGCCCTGGGAGTTTTCATGAGAAAAATTTTGCGAAGGATTTATGGTCCTTTACGCATTAGCAACGGCGAATGCCGCAGACAATGGAACGATAAGCTGTACGAGCTATATATTAGTTTGGTTTTCCAAGAAAACGTCACTATTTGGCGTTAAATGTTGTTACCAAGTCGTACACCAAATGATTCTTCCATCGTAGTAGAGCTCTGTCTTTTCCTCTGCTTCCTCCGGTGGGAGGTTCTTGGAAAACTTTTAAAAGTGGAGTGTACCCGTATACGTAGCCATTGTTTCTTCATTCTTCAATATATGTCAATGTCAGCTCATATAGGTCATCTGAGTTCCATTTTGAAGTCTGAAGATGGCGGTCGGTAAATAAAAAAGTACCTCTCTGAAGGAGTTAAGAAGAGGCAAGAAGGTTGGGAATCATTTATCAAAAATTGGTATGAAGTACAAAGCATCAAACATATTCGTGACACAGAAGATGGAAAAACTTTAGTAAGCAGCGCTCAGGATCAGATTATCGCTTCTGATTAGTTGAAAGGCCATGTATTCGAAGGGTCTTAGCGCAATTTTTGAAACGATAACGATTCTGTTCGCTCTTTCTGCAAGTTCCTCTTGATTGCTAGGAACTCAATGTACGCTGCAACTGCCATGGCATGGAATCCACCGAGGTGACAGGTACAGGTACAGGTCTATGGTTAAGAAATCGCAGACATTTGTCGAAGCCATTGTTGAGGTTAAGACCACTGACAATTATATGCTCAATGTTGGCTTTCCGCTATGAACCAACAGCTTTGTTTTGAAGCATTTGGTGATCCTTGTAGAGTTTGGTTTTTGTTCTTCGAAAGAAAACTCTACTTTCCAATTGCCAAATCAGTTCAAAGTAGCACCTGTTGGTGAGAGTGATTGCAATGTAGGTGCAACAGATTACCAATTACGATAGAAAAATGCTAAAAATATATAAAAGAAAGATATGCTTGAACGCAATGGAGTATGCGTTGACTCGTAAGAGAAGTCCCGTTTGGCTAATACTGGACGATTTTCATCACCGTGTCCTTTTTTTGTTTTTTTTTATACTTATTATGAATTTGCGTTTTCTAAAAAATTAATTAATTAAATTAATTTCCATTTCCTTTCCTTTGTTTCAGCGCACGTCGAACACCGCCACGCACGGCTCCACCACCACCACCCCCACCCGGCATGATGAACAGGTTCAGGTCACGTTATTAGAGCATATAGAGCAATAAAAAATAAACTAAATTTAACTTTTCTAAACACTTATACACACATTTCTTCAATACTTTCTATGAAATCCAACGTATGACGCCAACATGCCGAAAACCGCAACAAAAAAATACACATAAAATCTACATACGTTCCAAACATATTTCACACCTTTGAATCGCAAAACAATCTAACAATTCTCCGATCCTCTCCTTCAGGTATGGCAGCGTGCGCAGTGTGCGTTGGAACGCAGAAGAAGATATGGTATTCGAAGATGTCGATTCGCCAAATCCGATATACATGAATCAACAGCACATGCGTTAGCATGACGACGCAAAAATACAATAACACTCTATAGATATATACGAATAAATTTATACACACATAACATACTATATTACATCGGTTACAATGCATTTGCCACCACTGTACTTTTCATCAACGTGTTAATGCGTTTATTTTTTTCTATACAAGCAACAAAACATTTCATACAAACACTTAATATATTTTATAATTTTTTTTCTTAATTATAAGTGAAAATATTATTTATGTAGTAATAGAAAAAAAAATTATAAAATTTCTCTTAAAAATTAATAACGTATTTACGTATAATAAAAATAAAATTAGTTAACCGAGTGTTTTAATTAATATAAATATATATATATATATATATATATATTATATAGATATATATATTATATAGATATATATATATTGGAATGGCGGCCAGGGTAGCCGAGTGGTTAACATTGCGAACTGCCATTCGGAAGGCTCGGGTTCAAATTCTGGTGTGGTCCTAACATCCAAAAAGTTATAGAGAATTAATTTAAATCAAAAATTAAGTTAAATTTTCTAAAAGCGATCGCCCCTCGGAAGGGAATGTAAACCCCTCCGAGTGTATTTCTGCCATGAATTGAAGCTTCACATAAAAAACTGTCCGCCGTTCGGAGGTAGCTTTGTATAAAGTGTAGGTCCCTGCATTTGTTGGAAAAAACATCAAGACACAAAACCACATTTTGGAGGAGAAGCTCGGCCGAAAATCGCTTCAGCAGTTAGAAAGCGCCAATTATATATATATTGGAAGTCAACATACAAACATTGGAGATCTTTCTATCATAATTTTATTTACTCAACACTTGTGGGTATACAACGTCTATGGATATACAATCGAATACGCAAATAAAAACGCCATCTTGTTTGCCAACCCCTGAATATGCAACATACAATTGTCTATGTGTGAAGCAATCCATATAAAAAATTAAACCAGAATAATTGATCCTGAGTTTTGTTGATGGTGATTGCAACCACCAACGAAGAGGAAACTGTAGTCGCTTGAGTTTATTGCAAGTATCGGCCGGAATGATAGGGATTCGAGGAATATCGAAGTCTTCAACTTTGAAAGGTCCGATCAGAATTGTTCCGATTTTTGCGTTCCTCTGTTATTTTTTGACTGCAAGTCGTGTGAGTGGACCGAAAAAAACTTGCGGTGGATGGATCACTTGTTCCCTGTTAAAAATCTTTCTCCAAAATGTCAATATAAATGCCTTGTAGTAAGCCACACGCTCCATTCGAATCTATTCTTATTTTTATATTCAAGTTCAACCCGCAGGCACAAAAAAATAAAAATGCCAAAAGTACATATCTACGCATATGGGCATATCATCCAAAAACTAAACTAAAACGAACCAAAAACTTTTTTTTTTCAAATAGATCGAACCACTTTCCGTAAAAAAATCAAGCAAAAACAACATTAATTATAATTTTTCCGAAAAGGATAGTATTCCCGTCAATCTAAGCAAAATACCACCTTAGCACCGAACTTCAAGTGGACCATGAATATCACATTTTCGTATAGGTCAGTCTCTAGTCCATTAATAACATGAACCTTCCCAGGAATCATAGAACACGGACACAGACGGTGAAATGGTACACCGAAGAGTCCTTACAAAAGATTTCAAAAATTGTTTGGATAACAGTAGGAAAGAGGATTTGCAGCGCTGCCTTTTACATCATGACAACGCGCCATCTCACAATGCTGAAATAACGAATAATTGTGTTGCGATCGCTGGGATCAAAGAATTACGTCCAGCACCGAATTCTCCAGATATTACACCTTGTAATTTCTGGTTATTTCCAAAAATAAAAAATAAATTAAAAAGGTGGGTATTTAATAGCAACGAGGAGATGATTAATACGGTTAGTGCTGATCTTGCTAAGCTTAAAAATCACGATTTGGAAGACTGTTTTCATAAGGGGATCTACAGGCTTAAGAAATTAATTGAAATCATTGGTGGTTATGTAGAGAAGATAAAAAAGTACAAAGATTACGAATAAATACAAAAAGAATATCCCTTTTTTTACTGTTTAACTTACCGAACGAGAAAAGAAGTTTAATTACTTTAGCTTTCAAGCCACGCTTCGTTACAGGAATTATTTTAGCAGAAGAATTATATGCCAGCATAAACGAGGAGCTCACTTAAGGCTGAAAGCTAGTCGAGTAAACACCACGCCAGTAATAAATTTATTAGCCGAGACCGTTTTTCTTTTCATGGTAAGATGAAGAAGCCTGATTTGTAAGTATATTCAAAGAGACAAGAACACATTTAATTGTAGTCGCAGGTCCGCAATAATATTTTTTTTCTTTCACACGCATAACTCAAACTGTGTCTATACTAATTTGGAATGTCTTGTTTTTTTTAAATTGTTGTTGTTGCTCGTCAGTTTATAACCACCCACAAATAACCATCTTAGTTCTTTACACTTTGTCAATTCATTATTTTATTAGACCTAATAATAGAAGATATTGTAAGTAAACAGTAAAACGGGATAAATAATTTAATTGTGTAAAATTTGGACGTACATAATACAATAAATAGAGTTGATATGGTATACAAATATTAATAATAATAAACTTCGGAATGATATTAACATTTTAATATTAATATTTAATATTGCGATAAAAAAGTATGTTGGACATCTTGCATTTTCTATTAAAAAAAAATATTTTTAATTGCACTAATAAATACATAGGAAAGTAGAAAAATATGAAAAGAAAATTGTCTAACATTGAAACAATTGATACATGGATAGGTATATGCAACAATAGAGATAAGTAGATATTAAGAGATAAAAGCTTTATAGCGGCAGTTATCGTTATAAACTAAATGCGTTTCTTAAAAGATTAAAAAAAAGATATATTTCCTAAATATATAATATATATAAATATATATGTAAATTTGTCTTAAGCTGAAACTAGTATCAACATTTACTTTCAGGCTCGTTGTGTATAAAGTCTGTCTGTTTTTATCTAGATTATAAAGAGAGCATATAGTTGAAGCACTCGAAAAACGTCATTTCTTTCCTGACGCACTTTTCATAAATTCATATAAACTCTGTTGCATATCTTAATAATAAGCACTTAGCACGCTTATTAAATAATTTGATGGTTTGCAATTTATTATTTGGCACCAATTTACTGCACACCGAAAGCTGCTTTTGACTTTTACATTCATTTTTTGCTTACATTTATATATGTGTGTATGTATAATTTAGATTTAAAATAACTTTAATACTTATTGATTAAGTTTTCCTGCTAATTGAACATATTTAAATATAAGTAATCCTGTATTTGGCATTGTGTTATTTTTCTTTACGGCATTGTCTCACAACACTTAATAATATCGCCCTCTTATTTAATAATCACATGCACAGAGATCGCAATGAAATGTACAAAAATATATTAAAAAATATAGAAATTGGTAAGAAAGGAGTGTGAACTCAAACTCGTCCTTTTTCAAGCGTCCCCTATGTATTTGTTGATTTTGTCAGGTGACCACATCCGCACTTTCAATGTATTCCTTTTCATATACACCTTCTGGCACGCTAAAGTCACGCAAGCTCAGCACATAATAGCTGCCACTATTGTCGATGGTTTGAAACTTCGTAAAGGCATCATTGGTGAAAAATTGTTGTGCTTCGGTACCATTGAATTTGATACAAGACAGCAATTCGCAATATGTGTCCGGACCACGTTTCGTCTTCCAAATGGAATCATCAGCAACAGCTATAGCATCGGCACACACTTCATCAACAGGCGTCACATCCGGTGTGGGACGTGTATCATTGCGCGACTGTAAAGAAACTTCTTCGAGTATATTTGCAGGTAAATAACGCGAAATTCTCCTGTCATCCGATTCATCAAAATCATCATCATCATCATCCTCGCTATCTGAATGAAAACGAGAATTGTCCATTTCTGAACTTCCTTTGGCATCGCTGATGGAATTGTTTAATTTACACGCAGCCATTTGCATACTCCACCAACACATCTGTTCAGCACAGCTGACCAATACATAGGCGTTAGGCGAGAAACGCATGGCATTAATTGGTAAACTATGACCTTTAAGATCATAAAGTAGCTCAATGCGTCTGACAAGTAGTTGGCATTCGTAAACCTATAAATGAAGTACAGAAGATATGTGATTAACACAGGATCAGTAGAAAAAATATTCAATGGTTATAAAAAATATATTTACATGAATGCTTATGTCTTTTTCTCCATTATTATCACTATCATAACAGGCGACGGCAATCATGTTGGCATTGCGTGACACAGCCACGCAACTGACTTTTGCCTTAAACGCACCGAAATGTGTTAATTCCGGTATTTTGGGTGCAAGTGAATCGGCTAAATTGAAAACCTGAAAAAGACAGATGAAAACAAATATAATTTATTTACTTCATTATAATTAGAATAAATAATGAGTTCGGTATTAAATTATTAACGAATTTTAATTTATTCACAAAGTTTTATAATTTAGATGAAAAATATGTTGTGGAGTTAGTTAACAGCACATTTATATAAAATATACATACAACACAAAAAAAGGTAGCAACAAAGAATAATTGTGTGGCTAAAATAAAATTAATGCAGGTTATGTTAATAATAGTAGATTGTGAGCTTCGTTTTCTAGCTATAAGTAGTAGTAGTAGTAGTTGTTGTTATAATACAGACTTGCTCAACCCCATCTATCAACAGGCGGGAGGTTTCGAAAACGAGCTATTTCGATAGGTCCGAATCATAGTGAAGGTTCGAACACTTCGCCTGCTATGGACGGTGCTTGCATTACGAGCACGCCATTCAAGCGAAGAAAGTTTAGAAAGTGTCGACTCTTACGACGGGCACAGATTCCTTATTTTTTTCTTTTTCTTTTTTTGGAAGAAACGTTGAGATGATCATCTCCAATTGGAGGAGAAGCAGGCTGAAAATCGCCGGGGCTGTTATAAACCGCTATTTATACGTATATATATATATATATAACTGCAACGTCGTAGAATGATTTTCTATGCAATAAGTCGAATATATATGAATATTAGAAAAATAATAAAAAAGATTTTTTTTTAAAAACTGTTGATTTTTTTTATGCGAATATTGTGCTAATTCAATTTGTAAATAATTTTAAATTCGTGATGGCCGTTTAAATAGTTGCATTAATTATTTACGGAAATAACACAACATATATGTATGTACAAATTTTTATTTCACTGATTGAGGGAGATGCAGATGGAGAGAACAGAGGAGAGAAGACATCTAGGGCATTGCATTAGACGTGGGCATACTCTCCCTATCTTCTACTAGATCGGTAGAGTTTATTCCACTTATAGCTGTAATTTCTTTACATATTAATGTAAGATGTAGCATTTAACATATAATTTTTCATGAAATATTATTCAACCATTCTGTCGTAATTAATTTTGTTAGTGTTTTTAATACAATATCATATTAAATTTGAAACATTCTAGTTGAAAACTAGTAACAGTAGCGTGCACCACAACAATTCAACACAATTACCCGGATAACAAACATTTTGATTGAAACAGATATATTAGACAGAAGTCATACTATTTCTCAAAGAGCAGCAGATGCCAGGAAAGTAAATTTAGTCAAAGTAAATAGCTCTACATAGAGATTACAAATCCACCAAAGTATCCAACAGCTGATCATTGCTCAGCGTAAGCTCAAAACTAAAGATTTCATCGTTCATGCATGAAGAAAAAATTATGTATTAGCTGAAATGTAAATAAATTATAAAATATAAAGGCAATTAAAAGATATAATTTTGATCTATCTAGGATAATAATAATACAACAAAATAATTGCCTCATATAAAAAAATTATATTTTAATTATTACCCATATTTGCAATAAATACTAACCTCGATTTTGTAGCTTTGAGCTACAACAAACAACTGTTTATTTTGTAAATCACAATCACCAATTACGCTCCGAATCTCTGGCACATATTTAAAGATTAAACTACCACAACTATCTAAGACCTGTAAATGAAAATTTGTTATAAATATGCACCTTATTTATTATTATATCATTTTCCGCATACCCAAAATGTTCGGTTTTCAAAAACAAGCACTATACGCTCAGGCGGTAAAATAAAGCAACGCACGATTTTCTCAGAATTCAAAGCGAATCGCTTAAATTGGCCATAATTTATATTTGTATAAATTAAAACTTCCGCCTCATCGGCGACAATCAGTGTTTGTTCATTAAGCAACCGTAAAAATTCGATCGATTGATCAAAAGCTGTTAAAATAGGTTGTGGTGTGTGTCCCGACATATCGAACAATTGACCATTTGCGCAACCAACAAACGCTTGCGTACCGTAGAGTGTAATGGCAGTGATGGGGGATGATATAGGTTCATATAATTCGTTATTGCCATAAGCGATTTTATGTACCTGTCAATTAGAATTAATGAAAGTTTAAGAAAAATTTTACAATACTACAAGAATTATTTGAAACAACCTGGTTCTGCGAATCAACTGCCAAAAGCACCGCTTCATCGCGCACATACTGCAAAGCAAACAAATGTCCGCCCTTTAACGCAACATATGGCGGCATCTGTAAATCCACCATGTCCACTCTCCACGAATCTCTCTTACGAGATGATTTTGAACCACGTAGCCATCGGATCACTTGTTTACCATTATCATCGGCACGCAAAACAAATAAATTCAAGAACTTGTACGCATGTGAACCACAAGCCACCATATATTTGTTCTTGAGAGCATCCAATAAATATATATCAACACAAGTAATGTCTTCATTCACATTTGTTGTGAGTAATTTGGTACGCGTTTCTATGTCAAAGACTATTAGACCCTTTTTAGTGCCCAATGCCAGCTGCTTATGGCCGTTGATGTGTAGTAATTTTGCACAATTGATTACATTATCACGATCATCCGCGATTAAGTTATCCTCGTGCAATATATATTCCACAGGCTTGTTATCAATTATTGATCTACTGGTAAAGCTAACAATGCAACGACGACAAATCAAGAGTACTTCATTGCGCGTTGTCTCAATGGATTCAACGAAATGTTTGAATTTCTCAATGCCACGTGAATTCGAATAGTCTATAACATCGAAAACGGCAATGTCTCCATCTTTGGTGCACACAATATAATTGCGATTGAATACAAAACGTAAAATGCATATATCTTGCATTTTCGTATTTAAAGTTTCTATTAGTGCCGACTCGAAAGTCTTACTTTCACTATTCCACTTAAGATGCTTGATATCACCACTTTTATAAGCCAAATATATAATTGGTGGATGGCCAATAGCACCAAAAGATAATTCAAATGCAGTAATAGGTTGTAATAAGTGAGACGGTGGAATCACATTTCTATGCTCAATTTCTTTTTCCTGAGGACGTGAAAATGAATCAGACTGTTGGTAGAAATAAAAAACAAACGAAATTATAATGTGTTAACAATGTAGATAAAAAGTAACGAATAGCGTTGGGATTTATAAGGACGACTATTGTAAAAAAGAAAGTTATTTTAAATAAATTTTTTTGCTTAGTCAATTAATTAAGTCGACGACCAGTAATACGAAAGCTCCTCCAGTAGTGCTTAACATAGTAAGCTTTAATTGGAACAAATAAATCATATGTACATTCGGATAATGTTAGCGCTTAGTGACGGAATTTCTAGCAAATTGCTGTTTTATGCTAATTTATTACTGAATTGCATAAGTACAAACTCAATGATTTCATGTACAGATTTCGTATTAGTGAACGTGAACGCTGTTTACGTCATTTGTCATCTATTATAATTTTAAAAATAAATTTCTGACTTACTCTGCGACGGTCCACAGTGCAGTCACCTGGTATACACCAGGCTTTCATATTCCCATTATCATACAATGCCAATAGAATGGACGCATTATTGTCTTTGAAAAAACGTATATCAATAACGGTTGATTTTCCTTTCACTGTATTTTTTAATTTCACTGAATACGTATTCCAATCTAACGATAAATTAATCAGCAATATATCTGCTCTTTGCTCTAAAGCAACTAAAGAGCGTTTTTGATCCAGTAGTAAAATCTTTTTTGGTATGCTGGGCAATGAAATAATATTAGAACGTTGATGTATACATCCACTGTAAACCATAATGAGATGAATGAATAATGAATAAATTTAATTTTTCTTGAAGTTGATAAATTAGAAATAAATTGCTTACTGATGTTCAAACCAGGTGAAACCCGGAAAAACAGCTGCTTGTTTACGCGCTTCTATGCCTACTAAACCATCCTCCATAAGCGCACATTGAAGGAGTGTAGCATGCTGTGATTCTTGTAATGTCTTTTCGATATTGGGTAAAAAGTCACGTATGGCACGAAAAACTTTATACGACTCCAAATCAGGCGCTACGAATTAATTTCGAAAATTATTTAAATGTTTTAGTTTTAAAATTTAAGTTTAAAAATACCAATATACTCTTGAAATGTTTCCAAGTCAGCAATTGTGCTTAACATGTCGACGTTACGTATTTTCTGTTCCAGAAAACCATAATCTAAGTAGATTTGTGGAAAATACTCGACGAGTTTGGCCTTTTTCAAATGATAACCAACGCAAAGGAAAAAATATACATCATGAATATCACGATTAAATGGCAAAACTTCTTTGCGCGCTTCCAGATCTTCAACGAAGCTGTAATAATGTAAAGGAAAATAGTATGTAATTGTACGAGAAGAAAATTGAAGTAAGTAAATTACGACATACTGATAATAAGCAAGCAACTTTCTATGCATATACACGTACACGCCGTCAACTTGTGTCGCTTCATATCTGCCCAACATTTTATCATAGATAAATGGTAATTTATAGCATATATCATCATTGGGCGATATACATTTTTCCAGAAATCCATGACGATGTAATTTGGCCAAATCTTTGACGCATTTATCATAGATAGATCTATCATAGATGAATGGTAACTTATAGCATATATCATCATTGGCCAAGTCTTTGACACATTTATCATCGAACCAAAGTGCTGCAATCAACTGCATGATAGAAATATAGATTATATAATATAGTTTAAAATTTATTCACAATATTTTATATTTACTCTTTACCTGCTGTGGCACAAAAATGGCATGCGGAAAGCATCTAAATACCGTACAAAATGTCTTTCTCAGTTCTGGTTCTAAGCTATCGAGACTCTTTTCAATAGCGGCGTTGAATTTCTCGTCAACCAGTCTGGAAAGAGAACAGAACATATTGGCAGTATTATAAGAAACTAAGTGGATTTAAAGAAATTTAAATATATACATGCATATGACCATTTTTTAATCTAACGGGTCTATATCATACGAAACAAAATGTTTTTATCTTAAAAAAAAGTATTTGTTTCTTCGGTTAAGGTCTGCCCCTCGGCAGGGCATGTCAACCCCACCGAGTGTGTTTTTGACATAAAATAAAATAGGATTAGTTTGAACTGCAGTCCCCTTCATTTGTTGGAAAAACATCAAGACGCAAAACTACAAATTGGAGGAGGAAGGAGTTCGGCCGAAAAACGCTTCAGCGGTTATAAAGCGCCAATTATATATATGTATGTATTATATCCACGCGTTGCACAAACTGTTTACATAGATTATTTAATTAATATCTGACATTTCTACTCACTTTGTTTCTCTCAGCTTCTCGATCCAACCCTGCCAATTACCCAAATTTTGACTTAAGCTCTGTCCAATTAAGCTCAGTAGGTATGGATGTCCATTACTATGAGTGTAAATTAAATCTACATATTTTTCTTCAATATTCCGATGCTCCAAATATTTTTCAAAGAGCATATGCATTTCTGCACGCGTGAGACCGCTTGTCAAGCGTAATGTTGTGCTACGTTTTTTGTCAAACGAATCGCTAACCTTTTTATTGCGTGTAATAACAAGTAGTTTACATGGTAAATCAAAAGCCTTCAACGCATATGTATTCCCAACATTTACCAAGACTACAAGGCACTTCTTGTTTTCAGTCTTTTTTAATTCCTTACTCACAGAAAGTTTAATTTCATCTATTGAATTTCTATACGCATGCGTATTGGGCTCAGAACGATCCAATGAACCATAACTAGCTGGCGAAGGTGAACGTAAGGATTCTGTGAGTAATAATTTCAAATAACGTAACATTCGTAAATCTTCCAATGAACTTGTACATTCACTCATATCAATCCAATAAATTTGGAAGTTCATAGATTTTGCAACGTCATAATCAGTACAAGCATCAATTGCTAACCACTTTTTGCCGCAACCGAAATCGCTGGCCAAAACTACACGACCGTTAAATGGTATGTTTAGCAGGGCTTTGCGCAATTTACGAAACTAAAAAGATAAATTTAATTAATAAATGGAAAATGCAACAGGTTTTAAAGAATTTTTTTTTTTTTAAATATATCATATTAATAAAAGAAATATGCATTTGCAACATGCGTCTAGCTAATAATTTCGAAAAAAGAACTTCTACCTACAAAGGGTATATTTTTTTAAAGATATTGAAGATTAGAAAAGATGAATTATTGGATTTTAATATAAAAGAAAAAAAAAACAATTAAAAATAAAAATAAAAATACATTTTTCGTTATTTCTTTCTCCAAACTGCTGCAGTCAAACTTTTTAATCGTCTTACTGAAATCTAATTATTATTTTTACACCTTTTCAAGTAAAATAAAAATAAAAAAAATTACACAAAAAATCTGCGTTAAAACCTTCTAAAAATACTTAAAACCAAACTTTTAAACAAAATCGTTTCATCCACAACTATTTCAATTGAATACGCTTAAATATATTAACGATTACATTAGATTTGTATTTGCTGCTTACCGGCATTGAGCGATGCACATGGTAATCCTCATATTTTAGACTAGCTTTTGAGTGCAGCGAGTGCAATAAATCCACGTAGTTGCCATAATCAATTTTATTTACATTTTCAAATAAGTTCACTAGCCATAGGTAATCATAACTTAAAGCTTCCATAAATTTGCATATTTCGGAGTAATCTTTATTGCGCAAAACAGCAAATAGACGTGACACCTGTTCCTCACCAAGTATTTCCTGTGTATCAGTCGATGGACGTTGTGTACATGGATCATCGCATTGTAGGGTCTGTAATAAATTATTTTTTCAACAATTTGTTTAGATTTTAACATATTCCATTTATACACTCACCGCAGTAATGTATTGCCTCTCAGATTCGGTGAATATGTTATGTGTATATGACCAAATGTCTCTTACATCGAAATCTTTTAGAAAGTGTCCTTTTATAATATCCATTGCATGATGTGGGCTAAGTGTCTCTTCGTCACTTGAACAAGGCGAATTCATTGTATTTGCTGAAATTGAAATAAAAAATACTATTAATTAAGTTTTACATCATATTATGGGTGGCTTTTAAATTAATGTACTAATAAAAGTTCGTTTTAAATAAGAATTTAAAAATTATAAAATTTAATGAGCTAAATTTGTGAGTATAACAATTAAAACTAAAATGCCTACAAATTTGTGTGTTCGTTGTAATTGAAATGTGATTGCCAGCGTCGATTGATGGCGTAGACGGAGGCGTTAGAAGTGGCTCATTCTCCGGCATTCTGGAATTGCAACACCCATCAGCAGGGGCAGGGGATTCATCAAGCATGTTTTTTGATTGTAGCATTTTTTTTGTAGCGTGTGCTAAGGGCTTATCATGTGTCTACAACTCCTGCACTTGAGCTTGTTCTAGTAGTTTTCTGCGAATAAGTATTTTTTTGTGTTTTATTTATGTATACAAATGTATGTATGTACATAAGTGTTGTTTTATATTTGTATGTAGGTTTATATACCTACTGTAGTTTTTAGATATACAAATACATTTAGGTATGTGTTGGTGAGTTTCGCAATTTTTTTTTTTTGAATTAAGATTTTAGATGGTTCTAGAAGATCCTGTAACGCTGCAAGATATATGCACATTGATGGTAAATCTCTCACTCAAAGGACTTTTTTGTGTTTCGTAAAAATATTACCATCTTTTTTGAATCGAGTAGTAGTTATAATTAAATGTAGCTCTTTCACTTGGTAATACCAGAATTTTTATATACGACACCCACTTTTATTATATACATGAAAACCTCCTCTCATCTCATCCTCACAAACTGGCTGCAAGTCTTGCTCATTCCCAGATAACTCTGAGTGAATGTTATTTTTGTTCGTAAGAAACACAGTATCACGTATTGACTAGCGGAAGCCCCAACAGTTCTGCAAATCCAACTTGCACCGAGTAAAACTCGTAGAAATTATTGAGCTCCGCTGTCGAGATCAGCTGCGCCACGCTCAATTTCAATTGCTTTAGTGGGTTTTTGCGCAGTTGGTAAAAATTCAGAATATCGTTTACCTACCTAAAATCGATTGAAGGACGTAATTAAACAGCGTAACTTCTTTCGGATGTCAGTCAGAACTAAATGAATAGTCGCTCTACGTAAAAAATAGGTATTCAATTTGTTGTATGAAAACCTTTATGAGTGACGTGCTTGACGTGGACTACGCGCCCGTCGCGAATAAAAAAATTATGTGCGAGAAGAGATTTTACAGCGCTTATCGGTTGCCACCATTAAAATAAGTAGATAACACTAGTACAGTAGAGATGTAAGGGCGCGCGAATGAACAAGTTGATATGGTGAAATCAAAATCTTAGTGTGCAACACTATAAAAAATCGCTGTGTATTAGTAGCACCCCCTGGGAGGTAGAAGTACAAGAATTTAACCGAGATAGCCGAGTGGTCCTTATAAAAAAATCATCAGCCGTTCGGAGGCGGCTTAGTATAAACTGTAGGTCCTCTATATTTGTTGGAAAAACATCAAGACGCAAAACCTCAAATTGGAGGAGGAGCTCGGCCGAAAATCGCTGCAGCGGTTACAAAGCGCCTTATAGGTATGAAAGGCATAAGAGGACTAATTTCGGAATTAACTCATATTCAACCAGATCTGTTCGAGTTTTAGAACACTACAGAGGAAATCAGTCCCGCAATTCAGGCAGCTGATCCGATTCGATTCGATTTCGTTCCGGTTATTTTGATCTACGAGATGAAAGGCCAATTGTCCAAAATGTCAGTAAAATAAAGGAAATCATCAAGCCCGGTCGTCTGTTTCGATTGCCCAAGAGCTAAACATTGCACTTTGGAACCACTTGAAAAAGGCTGGATGCATAAGGAAGTAGGATGTATGGATGTCACATGAGTTAACGAGAAAAAGCCTCAAAAACCGAATTCGTATCGTAACAAAATCAACCCATTTTTGAAGTGGCTGGTAAGTGGTGATGGAAAGTGAAGAACTTACAGAAACGTCAAATAAAAGCGATCGTGGTGAAAGGGCAGGAAGTCGGCACAAACGGTCTCCAAGGCAGAATTGACGGTCATGCAAGCTTTGTTGTGTGTTTAGTTGGATTAGCAAGTAATCATCCGCTCATCCTTCTAACCTAAGGCGAACTCCTAATTCAGATCTGAACTGTCAGCAATTGGCCCGTTTGAAGCAAGCAATTGGCCCGTTTGAAGCGTCAATCGCCAAGAAGCGCACAGCTTTGGCTAACAGGAGCACATTTCGTTTGGTCAGGACTACGCCTGACGACACGCGTCGATAGTACCTTGCTGGAAGCTTCGAACGCTTGGCTTGGTGTTTTTATGCATCCACTTTATAGTCCTATTCCTGTCTATGGCGAATGATCTGGATAGTGAAGAATTAGTCACAAGAGAAGCCTGTGAAATTGGGTTGTCTCAATTTTTTACAAAGAGGGACGAGGGTTTCTATCAGAGAATCATAATGGCTCAAAATGGCGAAAAATCGTCGGGCATTTAATTATATTAGTCGGAGCAGCGAAAAGCTAGAACATCATACATGCATCGTTGCATTGCTACAGCGTCACGTAATCCGGATGGGGAGAGCCCACATGGCAACCGGTTCTTCGTACTGGAGTTTATCCGCCAAAAGGCTGCCACTCTTTCGGCGCCCTAAGCCTATTTAGGTCAGCAGATAACATTAGTCCAAGTTCATCAACGGAACAACACCTTGTATCAGGATTACTTCAAGTCCTTCTCATCAGTGTTGGCGTCGAGTCCAACACTGATCCGACCGCATACTTTTGCTGCGTGTGCCTTAAGCAACTCCACCATTCCTTCATTTTAGTTAGATGCAACCAATGCCTTGGATGGAGTCATCTTAAGACGTACTCAAGCCTTAAGGCACATAATCCCAATCTACCAACGCTCGCGGCAGTGCCTTCTACACCTCAACTCACTTTGGGTAATCACTTCCAGACCTTTGCGATCTAACAGTGCCACCGCAACATTACACCCATTGATCATATCTTTTGTGCCGGGACGGACAAATAGAATGTCGGGGCGTAGCTATCGGGTGACGGTGATGTAGAGCTTTAAAAATATTTAATATATGTATACAGTACTGATATAGGTGCACCATGAAGAAAGACGCCTTCTCCAGAATTGTGGGCAGCTGCCACAGCTCACCAGACATAACACGTGCTGGCCTAATAAGCAGCATAACCTGGCAACCTATATACCACGGTTTTAACTTTGAAGGGCAAGCGTCACTCCGTTGCCGGAAATCTCCTCATCAGGGATGCCAACAAGGAGAGTTGGTATAAAGCTGACCGGTAGAACATGTGGGAGAAACACTCATGGTCCTGCAACATCTCCTCTGTTCACGAGACACGATGACCGATTAAAAATTTCTTTCGATGACAGGGCCTCGTCGGACCCGGAGAAGTGCCCCAGCTATTTTAGATAACTTTTTTTACATCAAAGGGTACGACAAAATAAAGCCCCAAGTATCCCGTCGTCTGGGCAAACGGCCAAGCATTAGCGCTGCGCTTGATTCATCTAGGGACCGAATAAGTATGCTGGCGCCAAAACACCAGGTAGCAGCGAGAGCAGACTACCTCACCAAGGCTTTCAATCTATCTTTGACCACTCCAATAACACTCGACATGTGTAAAATGGGTAGAGGGGTCCAGTTACTAAAACCGGAGAAACAAACTAACTAAGGAGAGTCATATCGGCCGAAACCTCTCCTCTCCCTTGTGGAAGTTAATTAGGGCCCTGCTGGTCCGGTCTTTCACACGGCATCTGAGCAGATCAGCATGGCTTTCGAGAAGTGTGCAGCAAAAACTACACTTAACGCCATAAACACTAAGTTGGTCCATATTTTCAACCAAAACCGGCCCTGCGCGCCTAGTAGCACTGGATCTGTCAAAAGCTTTTGACACCTTCAAACAATCACTGCTGCTATAGAGGATGTTTTCTTATTCTCATATGCCGGTGATTTCGCGAACTCGATTGTACGAACTCGGGCCCTATGTCTAAGTCATATAGGTTTTCTAAGGGGAGATGCAGAAAAATGGGCTGTTTCAACTGGTTCGGACCAGCGGAAATTAAGGTTAGATGAGTAGGTTTTAAGGGGCATGCAAAATGATGGTAGTATCATGCGCGATATCATTGCATGGAGAATATACGTTGAGTATGTCGGTATCAAGTGTTAGGTTAAGTACGAATTAAGTCGGCTGCAATATCCAAATCTTAATGACTAAATTTTATTTCATTTTTTATCATAACATTAAAGTCATCGAATTCAAATAGTTTTCACTATTGTCAACTAATTTGCATTCGATTGACAGACAAATGAGGGAAAAGATTGGTCTATATCTCTTCCTTTCGAAATCATCTCCAATGCACCATATCGTGCGAGCGCTACTTTTGTAAATCGTTTTCAATTAACCCCACATACACGTATGTAAATATATATGTATATATATGTAGTAAAGTGCGTGAGCATTGTTATTTAATGTTTCTAATGTGACGATGTGGTTTTTATTGGTAGAGCCTTATTTAGTAAAGAATTTAAACAGGTAATTTAGTAGTTATTGCTAATGAAAATGCAAACACACATACATACATATATTGCAAAGTTCTATTGGCTTAACGCTAGAGGAGCAGTTGTCATGGTAACAGACATATGCAAATTAATTCAGTAGAATATTGACACATACCTTTATTCATTCATTTGTATTTACACACCTTGTACGACTATTAGGGTGAATGACCTGATTTCAAATACTTCGCGTAGGTAGTGACGAAAAAGCCGTAATTAATTAATAACTCAAATATATTGTACATACATGTGCATCATCATTGTTTTTGTTGAGTGTTGTTATTGCAAAGTAAACAATGTCAATGCACTAGCACTATAAATATACATACTATACTTGCATTCGCACTATGCATATTCCTAAGCACATAAACAAAGACTTAATAATCATATGAAAAGACAACAGGTGATATTTTGCGAAAAATTTGGCGGCTTAGAATTTGTCAAAGCGTCTTTTAATAATAACCTTATATTCAATACGTTAAAATGTTATTAATCATCAAGGTTATAATGCACTCACTATAGGTTTCCTTTATCCTTTGTTTCTTGGATGACTTTATGTATTTCAGTTCATTTTTCACACAATTCCCGTGGATATTCTCTTAAATGCTTTACTTTGCACTATATATATAATTATATGAAATTAAAAAATAAGTAAAAAAAATTTATTATACCACTTGTTTATTATTTCTTTACTAGCACAAGAAATATATCAGAAACACAACCATATCAATGAAAATTAATATAAATTTTGACACTGTTTATTTCTCTTGAAGAAGAAGAAGAGTAACAGGGTTGCTAAGGTTATTGAATTTAATTGAGGATTCGTAGAATAATATCATAGAAACACAATCATCGCGAAAATCTAATATTATTATAATGAAATTTATATCCGATCTCCCTCCTGTTCATAAGCGATAATCATATAAGAAACTTAAAATAATTTACAATAGACATTTTACCCTGCATATTTTCAGGCAATATAGCTGATTATCATTTCTAAACCCGGTACATATACAATAACGCAACATTAAAACTATTTGTTAATACTGTGCAAATAGCGAATGGAAAAAACTTTTTCTCTGATCCTATTTTCGCACAAATGAAGGACTATATTGCTAATATTGATTTTAATACTTTAAACAATGTACGAATATAATAATTTTTTTTTATTTATTTTTCCAGTGTATGATCATATGGTCATTACTTGTCATTCACAATAGTTTAACCATGTCATTAAACCGCATTCTCGCTTTTGGGGCAGGTAGAATTCCTATCAGTCTTTTACTCCGTCAAACTCAACAATTAAAAATGCCTGTTTTGGAAGAAATTATAGCGAAAAACAAACGCAATCAGGATATCATCACGTCTATTGCTTCTGAGGTTGGTATATGTGGTTACATTTATACCCTTATAGCCGCTTATTTGGCCTTTGTATATAGTTGAAGGTGATGCGCGGCGAACTACTTGCACGCAAGAAGCAGCAATTGAGTCAAGAAAATGCATTACTAAGGCAACAAGTTGAAGTCGCCAAACAGCAGCTAATAGCACTAGAACTTAGTCATGGAAAAAAACAAATTCCCTTACCTAATACGCGTGGACTATGTACTGAAGCGCCTAACACACCCATTGTTGACTCAACTGTTAAAAGCAATCAATCAGCGGAGGATGCCACTTCAACCGAAAAGAAGCAAAGTGCACCAAAAGAAAAGAAACCTAAAAAAGAGAAGCCTAATACAACCACCGGCAATGTAAATGTTGCATCCGAACTTCCGGTTGATGTTGGACGTCTTGATATGCGTGTGGGCAAGATAATAGAAGTTGGTCGTCATCCCGATGCAGATAGCTTATATTTGGAAAAAATTGACTGTGGAGAAGCCCAACCACGAACTGTAGTATCTGGTCTGGTCAAATTTGTGCCTTTGGAAGAGATGCAAAATCGTTTGGTTGTTGTACTATGTAATTTGAAGCCAGCTAAAATGCGTGGAGTTACTTCTGAAGCTATGGTCATGTGTGCATCAACACCCGATAAGGTGGAAATTCTTAGTCCACCAGCTGGTGCGCTTCCCGGTGATCTGGTACATTGTGAAGGCTATACTCGTCAACCAGATGGGCAACTAAACCCTAAGAAAAAAATTTTCGAAACATGTGCACCTGATTTAAAAACTAATGATGAACTCGTTGCATGCTATAAAGGCGCAGCTTTGCTTGTGCCTGGAAAAGGGAAGATAGTCTCGCAAACTCTGAAAAACGTGAACGTAAAATAATTGAAAAGTCTGTCATAAAAAACCTTGTTACCTTCTACGGGAAATAAAAGACAAACATTGTTTGTTAATAAAACAATTTATTAATTCAAAAAGTTATAGTTGCTTGGAAATTACCATGTTTTGAAAATAGAAGAATACATACGAGTACTAAATTTCGTAAAGAAACAATAAATATAAGAATACCACCTTATAAGAGACATATCGGAAACATTAAGACAAATCTCTATTAAAAATAAAGTAACAGTTTATTGCGGTGGCGGGTGACGAATTCTTGGGTTCTGGTTTGCTTCCACAACAATCGTCTTGGTAGCTATATCATAAGCAGTGCGATTATTTTTAAAGAAAATCATGACGAAACACATTGGGAAAAGTAGAGTCATTATTAAATTCTTTGCTACGGCTCGCATGAATGCTCGTTGGAATGTTGGCACTTCGGCGGGAAGGATTAGTGCAGTAATTGGTAAACGTTGGGCTTGAAGCCCCTGGAATTGTCTAGCAAATGGCTGAGGTTGTGGTTGTATATCAGCTGCCGGCTGTAGAGGATAAACTGCCTCTACATATTTTATACAGAGATTCATTGCCGCCTTTCCCGGTGTAGCGCCGTTATAAGCCGCTGTCCATATGGCTTCATAAAAACAAACTATTACTTTTGTTAAAAGTTCAAGCATTAGTAAATCCGAGGAAAATGCTAAAAAGTCCATTGACATAGTAAGAAAACTAGCATAATCATCGTCTTCAATGGCTTTGCGTAGATCCTCCTTGTCGAGCTCAAAACCCAAATCCAAATCGAAAACATTCATTATGGTAAAAGTAACCACGATCTTCAATACAAGTAATATCACCATATCGATTATTTCAGCAACAACGCGTTTCCAAAATGGAGCAATAACATACTCATAGCCACCAGATCGTTGAATTATTTCAGCTTGCACTTGATCGCTTAAAATTCGATATTGAAACATAATGCGTCTACGATCACCAAAAGCGTTCGGGTCGACTGCATTCAAATTTGCAGCCACACCGCCAGGAACCTGTGCATTTGCAGGTGATATTCCATTAGCCGATGTTCCTAAGGGAAAACCTTGTTGATTTTGGAATACTTGAGGATAGCTGTTAATTAAGTACCAAGGAAAGAGTGCCATTGCATTTTGAGAGATATTAGCTTGTTTCACCTGCAAATAAAATCGCAAAAAATATGTATAATAACAAAATTGTTAGCTAATAATCGTGCCACCAACCCATTCATTGAGACTAGCAAAATATGCTTCCTTAGTAGTCAACTCACGCTCACAGCCATTCTCTGCTGTTGTAGATATTTTCTCCTTCTCCATCTCCTTATCACCTTCAAGCTGTTGCATACTGTCTTTTTCATTTTTTGAATCAGTTTCCTTCTTAACAGATGCCATTGCTTTATTTTTAAGCGGACTAAGGTGTGACTATTTCCCCTTTAATATTGCAAATTTTTATTTTTTAAAAAGAACTCACTTTACTTTAATTTTCACTTTTTACGTTTGAAGTTCTACTTTTGTGTGCATATTTTATTTGTTTTGTTTTCGTATTGCAATTATAGACACGACAGTCGTCTGAATAATTGAAAAGGCCATGCGCAGCAGTGTTGTTGCATCAGCTGATATATCAATTCACAATATACTGCATTCCGTTGGGTTGAAATGTACATGTATAATACTGTGTTTCTACTACACTGAAATTGAGCAATTTCAGTACAAAATTCAAGAAGTTACGAATTTTTTTTTTTAATTAAGTGGTAATTAAATGATTGAAAAATGTTTAAAAGTTTTATCTATCACTGGCTTTAAATTAGTCAACTTTTTTTTCTGTGGGTCGACCAACAGTGCGCACTTCTTCTTCAGAGTACGTAGTTATAACTTCATGGCTATAATCAATTGCGCTTTCGTCCCATCTCTTGGAAAAGTGAAGAACCCATGCGCGAGTTGCGCTAACCAAGGCAACCTTAATGAAGATACACCGACATATCCGGTTAATAGTTTCACTATGGTCTTTCTTCGGTGCAGCAGTGCTACAGCTGCGGGTGATCGTCGGCAAAGAACGTATATTGTCTGAGACAAGCGGCTCACTCTACAAATGTCTCAAATTAGAATTCATGATAACAGAAATAGTCAATTGCCGGTCTTGGCATACACGCTCAGAAGAGATATAAACTAAATACCCTTATATAAAGCCGTTATTCTTTTAAATGTTATTTATTGATATTAATAGTTACAATTAAACGTCGTAATAAACTTACAATTATACTTGTGTATTTAAAGAAAAGTCAAAATTAAATGTTTATTATTTATATGTAAGTATCATTTACTATGAGCACAAATGCTCAAAGGTTAATTGTACTTTGGAAGGAATAACCTTCCATACTATACATACTGATTCTCAGCTTTAATATATGTACATATACATATAAGCTTATTTTATTACATTTTCGTCTCGGGTTAAGTATTGCAGCTGATCCATTGACCATACATAGAATTAAACCAATCAGCCAGATGGATCTTTTTGTACAAAGTTTCACATTCATTTTTATATAATATACACAATAAGGGTTTTTAAAAACTGGAGATGCGCACAAAAATATTGCGGGCTGATCTTGAATAAATGGTTTTATTTATCCTTTGAGTAATGCACCTGTGGACTATTTAATATATTCTGCATTTTTGAAAGTTTATCTGGCCATTGAAGTTCACATTTCTTCTAATACTAAGCAAGTACCATAAGCCCAAAAATTTTTGTTAAATATATAAACGTACGTAAATACAAATAAAAAAGATCCATCTTAATTAAAATTTATTTAGGCCTTTATGAGCCTTTTAATGAGATAACCAACCAAGAGAGTTTGTTTAATGCTGCTGAAGTGCAAATTATTAATACGAATGAATAGCTTTTATATGTAACGACTTTATCCAATATGTGCATATGTCATGCTTTATAATTTTAATTAGCTATGTTCGGCAATGTTTTCGTTTCGTGCAGGACAAATTGCAATTACGTTTGAAAATTTGGTGCAATATAAATACAAAAAGTTAACTAAGCGCCCTAACTGCAGAAAATTCCCAATCACAAATATTAATGTTATTTTATTATTTAAACATCTTTTTCGAAAATTCTTAAAGGAACATGAAATTATTTTTATTAAGCTTTTTTCTCTTTTCGAGTTTCACCTAAAACGAAAACATACCGACGTTGGCGCCGCTGTCGATAGCGTAATTCTGTACAAGGCAAGTTGGTTTTCGGCAGCAATTGAAGCTGGTGCTACTGTTCACCAACCTGCCAAGCGCCACCTGCTCACTGCCACACATTGCCAATATTCAAATTGCTAAATTGCTGGTTCAGTCCAATGTTACCAGTAGATGCAGTACCGGCAGCCGCTGTAGGCGCTGATTGAAATGTTCCAGTCATTTGCATTGAACCCATTGGCATACTCATACCCATCGGAGGCTGTTGCGACATGCCTACTGATGTAGCACCCATACCCATCATTGACATACCACTAAGTAGACTCTGATTGGTATGCATAAGATTTAGGTTCCCTGCTGGCTGTCCACTATTTGCCATCATATTTCCTATACCAGCCATATGTTGCTGTGTGTACATGGCGGTACTGGTTGTTCCCGGAAATTGTGCACCGAATCCAGCGGCTGCACCTGTGGCACCTATATGCATACCAGGGGTGGTGAATGCTGTCGGAGCTGTCATAACTGGTGCATTGTACATACTGGTTGAATTGGGTGGCGTCATAAATTGTTGTTGCTGAGAATGCTGTAATCCGCCGGCACCTATATAACCAGGGGCCATTCCAGCCGAGTATGCGCCAGTTGCGGCAAACATGGGTTGTGGTTGGGCAAAAGGCATTTGCCCGCCATGCGGATTATGAGATTGCACAGTATTGGTAGGTGCAGTGCCATATAGTGCCAGTATGCTATCTTTAGTCATTTTTCCAGATTTATCTTTGTCACCACTAGATAGCGATCCTTGATTGAAAAAATCCTCTTCGTCCTTGGCTAGCGAATTTTGTGTAGTACTTTGACCATTCGATTCCACAAATTTGTTATGATCCCCACTTTGGGAAGCTACGGAAGGTGTGGCACTTAGAAATCCAGTGAAACTATCATTTTGCAAATCTTGTGGTGCTGTATTAGCAACATTATTTTGAACAGGTTTTGTGGGAGAGGAAAGTCCGAGTAAATCGTTGCTTTGATTGCCATCACTGCTGGTTGAATTTGTTGAAATGCGTTGTGTTTTCGGACTGCAACCACTTCCAACTTGGCCGGCCTTCGGTTTGGGTAACGGCGCTGGCAGTTTTGTCGATTTCGATACTGAACTTGTTGATGTACTGTTCTTTTTGTCACCTCCAGCGCCAACACCACTCATTACACTCAGTCCCATTGATGTGCATGCTTGTGCTGCTTTCTTCTTTCGCTTCTGGCGTTCTAATTCCTCATCGATTTCTTTTGCCCAGTCTACTTTAGGCGGAGATGGCGGCACCCATTCGCGTGCCAAATACTTTTTATGTTCATATTTGGCGCGTATAAACGATTCCAATGCTGTATCGGTCTGAGGGCGACGGAAACCATCTGGCAGCTGTGCTTCATAGACGGCACGCGCACGAGAGTTGCCCATCTGTTGCAATGAAATCACCTGTTCTGGCGTCCAAGTGTCTAAATTAACCGACTTTACACGTGATATGTGTACGCCAAGATTGCGATGTATGCCGGCACAGCGTATGCACAAAAATACACCTAGGTTCCATGATGCCCAACGCGGACCTAAAAATATACCAAAGTTTCAGAGGCAGTTATATTTTATATAAAGTATTTAGGAATAATATATTTTATCCGTAAAATATTTTATATACATATACATATCATAAATAGCTTTCATAATAAATTGCTTATCAGAACATAGCCGCTTGGCAACAACAATTGGCTGCAAATGCAGTATTGAATTGTATTTTATCAGAATTATTGGAGATGCTAAACCTTAGTTTTGTGTTGCTCTCCGCTCTCAAATCGCTAGTTGTGATCTTCATGTATTAAAAAAAAAGTATTTGTATAGTGACTCATAAGTAGGAGAACACAATTTCAATATTAATTCTATCCGTGCTTTCGCTACATTTATCTAAATGCATACACAGAAAGGCAACGAAAGAGTAAACTTTGTGTTTTTATCTGTAAGCAGCACGCGAGAATTGAAATAATTCATCTTCTGGGTCATTTTATTGATTTTTAACCACTTTTAAAAGAAACCCTTTAATTTTATGTAAATAAAAATAGCGAAGCCGCACAGCAACAGTGATGCCCTAAACACACTGACAATTACTATCATAGTGTAAAGATATTTATTCGGCATCGCGATAACAAATTTAACAACGAATTGAAAGAAATAAATATATCAAATTTGGCATGAAACCACTGCAAAGTCGTATCTCAACAATGTTGATCAAGCAACGCAATTAATATCAGTTACCGCTCCAATACAAGTTCTTTATTTCTATGGAAGATTAATACGAAATATGGGAAGATGGATCTGAATTTATATGAAATAAGGTTTTTGGACTTATTCAATAACATTTATTATTTAAATAATGGTCACATTTCTGGTATGTATACTTTCCTACTCTATTTAAAAATTAAGGATCAAAGTCAAGTGTAGAGCGGTTGGTTGGGTGGATTGCGTGTTTATGGTTATTAAGGTTTGTCTTTACCAAAATTTTTTTTTTTATATAAATCCCATTACCTTTCGCATCACAATCAACGCAATATTTGTTGTCTTCATCACGTAGCATCTGAGTCAGTAAAGTTTGACATTTTTCCTGTATTAATTTGGTCCTTTCATTTTCTTTGCGGCTAGAAGTTGAGCTCATTTTTACTTTTCTCTTTTTATGAACACACAAGAAAAAAAACTTTGTTTGCCACGGTTTATATTTGCACTTGTACTACACTTTTTGCTTTTATTTTCTACAATTATGACTGCTGCATTTGTTTATAAATTGGAATATAATTCTGTAAATTGCTAATTTTGAGTGAATTCCGGAGAAACTGCTACTGAAATAACTTCAATACTAATCTAAAAATTAAAATGATTTACCATTAACATGACCGAAAGAAAAACGTCGAATGAAGGCGAATATTTAAGATTGTCAGAGGCAAACGGCGAATTTAACATGTCATTGAAGTGTGTAGAGTTTTCATAAATTTGGTCGTTCACAATGACCACACCAGCTTTGTAGAGCTTTGGAAAATTTACTAAGGGACTAGGGACTAGGTTAGCGGTGTTCACTCAAAAACAATAGAGATATGTTCTTTCTCGTAGCAACGAACGTATATTAAAACATTAATATACGTTCTTTGGTCAAATTACTTTCAAAAAATTTATTAACAATAGAATAGTATATTTCTATAGGAAAATCCAAAAAGAAATTCAAGTCACAATTTCCAAATACACATATGTATGTAGGCCTTACAAACATCGCAAATTTCAGAAACAAAATATATTTTTTAATTTATTTGTAGTTGTAAGTAATTCGCAGGTGATTGTCGAAATTTGTAATTGTGAATATGTAAGTTTTTTGAGTGGTAAGTGACTGTGAACTATTACCGCAACACTTTACTGTAAATGGTTCATATCGGAACAAAGAAGAGAAATAAATTCAATTTTGAATGTGAAACGGAACTCTGGCTAAAAATAAACAATTTTGTGAATATTTGAAATACTTGTTTATTGAAAATCCAATATGACGGCGGACGGATCACAGGAGCTGAAGTGCCAACTGATGAAATGTAGAGAAGTTATATCTGTTGGATATAACACAGAAAGTCGAATTGAATGGTTAAATGTAAATTAATACATTATATTGTGTAATATTCAATAATACAATGAGGAACTATTCTAGAACTTCTGTGGTTACTTTTATGAGTTCGCCGATCGTCTGCATAAATATATCTCCACCGAAGTCACAGGGGATCTGTCAGGGAATGAACATATAGATATCACTTTTCTTTGCCTAGCTCAGGTGTGCCTGTGTACAAAATATTTGGAACGTGTCATACGAGCTGAGGAAACTGCCGGCAAACCAATACCAGTACGTTTAAATCATTAAAATAAGCTTTTGAAGAAAAGTTTCTATTATTAATTCAATACAATTAGTCTTCTCGAACGCATTTTATAGATCGGATAAATTTATGTTTAGACAAATTAGTACTATCAACGAGGAACTTAGAAGTCACAGGAGATGAAGAAAAAGCTCTTCAACAGTCGCGATATCCTTTTTTCGACTTATTAGAAATAGCCATGGATCATATTAAGAACTACAGTAATTACCAAGAAAGTCTGAATGATGAAGTAGATAAATCTCGCGAGCTTAAAGATGTAAGTGGAAAAAAATCTTTTAAAAAGTTTGGAAAAAAAACGTAAATTTTCTTTTAATAAATAGGCATTTGACTCCAGCAAAGAAGTTCATCAATGCGTTCGTTTCATGATTAGTCAGGCACTTGCTTTGGCAAATGTAGCGTTAATTGAAGATAAAACAGCTATCAGTGCATTTTCTCAAAAGGTAAGTCACATATTTCTTAAAATTTTTGATATCTATAATGCCGTTATTTAGGTTCTGCAAGATAGCACTGCATTTCAACAGGAATGCCAAAAAAATTTTGAAACTGGTCGAAACAACGAATCGATTCGCAGCCTCAAGGCATTAGCATTAGCAGGATCAATAAACAAATTACATAAACATGTCGATGAAACGGTTTTGCGTTTAATATTTATTTGTTTCTCAGATTTAGAAAAATTTTCTTTGGATAAGCTTCGTGCCAAAATTCATAAAAAAAGAAAAGATGATGCGGAACTAGATGAGTTCATAGCAGACTTTGATGTAAATATGGATAGATTGGCGCAAATAGGATTGTTTGCTTCGAATGAAACAAATAAACCGAAATGTAAGTTAGTTAATATATTTGCTTTGTCACACTGAAACTCCCTTCAAATTATAGTAAAGACGTTAGTGCGCAGTTGTATGGCATCACTTGAAGCACTCGATTCTTGCATTATACCTTCACTGCAAGCATCTAAACTCACTGCTATGCATTCTGAAATTTTGGAGCAGCATTTCTATGAGGAAATAAAGAAACTGAAAACAGCTATTTTTGATATCGTAGACGCTGCACCGCTCATTAGAAGCTATTTTGATTTGCTGAATTCTTGTGTAGCTAAAATAGAAAAAAATTTCAACAAATCCCAATTAGATGATATACTTCAAATGGGTGAATTTGTTTTACAATTCTTTCAATATCCCAGTAATAAAAAAATACTTCAACCGACGCAGAAGTTAATATACAATCGCCTAGAACATTTTCAAAAATACAAATTAATGTTGAAGGAATGTCGTGCTATTTTGGTATGTGCTGGCCAGGTGGATCACAAACGTATAGTAAAACGATTTAAAATATTACGCGGCATAATGCAAAGGTTCGCAGATGCACTTGAATATGAATATAAACAAAATGAGCCTACGAAACGAATTGAACCAAACCTTACATGGGATAAACTTGCTGTTGGCGAAAATTTAACTATCGATTTAAATGAAACACAATTTCAACTTGAGAGTATAGAACCGAGCATATGTAGTATACTTTACCGCAATGAGTCCGATATTTTTAAATCACGTAAGCGTGCTCTAAGCGAATCAATGTATGGTAATAACTCAAGGTGTTCGCCTACAACAAGCCAAGAAATGCGGGATAAAGAAAAGCAGAATTTACAAAGAAGATTTAGCGCTGATGGTCCAAATAAGCAAGAGCGTAGTAGAGTCAGCTTGCGTAGAAGTGAGTTCTTTTATAAAAAAAATTATTGCTTTTTATTTTGTTTTAATATCGCTTGCAGAGGAAAGTTTGCGCACAACAATGTTTAAACGCCAAAAATCTCTGGAATCAAGAAAAGCCTGCAATTTTTATTTACAAAATTCTGCCAGTTTGCAAATATCAGGTAAGAGAAATCGAATAGCTTTATCAAGTTCAAAAATAAAATTCTTTCATTTTTATTCAGAAATACTCGATCAAATTTCGGAAATATCGTCGAACAACTCGATACACTCGGGCGAAGATGTACTCAATAAAACTCGCATTGGGTAACTTTTGCAATGTGGAGTAACACCATTGCAGTTGAAAAGGGATTTTAAAAAATTTATATACGGAATTTCTGCACTGTAATGTAACATATAATTATCTTTTAAAAACCTCTGTTTATACTTTAGTTTTTACTTGTGAAATGCTTTAATGGTTTAAAGAATATCTTTTGTATTATTGTGATCTCTTTACTTGTTTACTATGTCCTATAAAGTTTTTTCAAATAATTTTGTATTTGTAAGCACATAATTGTATATCCGTATACATCAGTTTATGAAATATTTTTTATTATGAATCCCTTATTTTGCAACCTCACTGTTTTTATACGCATATGTATGTAATAAAATCACTTTTAAAACAAATTCAAAAATTTCTTAATGGGAAAGCAATTTAAATATGCACCGTCATAACGAATATGAAGTATCACAATTATTTTGTATGCATAAATATATGTATGTATTTACTGTATTTCATTATTAAAATATTTAATTTTATTTTACAGTGGAATGCTAAATATAGATCCTTATTACATATGAATATAAATCGTGACTAGAATTCAAATTTTGGTAAAGGCTAAGCATAAATAGGTAAAAAAAAATTATTTTTTCAACTGCCTCTTCTTGAGTTAAGTTCCAAGTATTTATGCCATCTTCTTAGATATTTTCTGCATATGATGCTTCGCCGTATGACTATTGCGTTGAATTTGTACTTCATAAAGCTCCAAGCCAAACTGCCTCAAAAACGAAAGCAACTGTTTACTCACATAATCATAACTTAACATGGTGTCTTTTGTGATTGTAGAATTATGCCCTGTACTCAGAAAGTGGGGTAATATTTCCGTTGATACGTGCGGATAGAAAACTCGTATTAATTGAGCACGCATATATGAACTTGCCTTGGACGTACGTAGCTTCGCAGCCAAATCGTCACTCAATGGTGCGGGCAAAGCTAAGTACAGACTATACTTCTGTTGCTTTGTGTTATATTTCGTTTCGCAATGTGACAGAATCAGTTTGATTTTGCCTAACAACTGATCCATTTTTAGGCTGCCATATTCATAGATATAGAAATCTTTGTGTCGACGATATCGCTGTCCCGTTTCCCTGTTTAAATGTAACACTTGTGAACTGGGCACATTGACTAGAGTCAGCGGCACGTTGTATATATGCGAGGTAATTAAGTGTATATGCTGAGCCGGTGATTTTTCGAGCATTACATTCTCAAAATGTTGAGTGAGTGGAACTACGCCGGCTTGATGAATAAAGCCAAAAAATATTACAAGTCCAATATTGCACATATACCATGTTTTCAACAAAGGCTTAGCAGAAACTTGTGTGCATAGCACCGTACTGTAGATTTTTCGCATAAGAGGATGTTCTTCTTTAAAGGGATATGTTGGACAAAGTCCATGGTGCAGTTTGGGTGCATGCATGAGAACTATGGGAAGTAGTATCGGCAAAAGAAACCTCGCTTCTTGATGGTTAATGAGTGACAAAAAGAAAAATGGCACAAATATAGCACTGGTCATTAAGCTGATTATGCTTTGTGCCCGCGGTAAACTTTGATAATCCGCACGAAAAAAGCGTATTAAGAGGCGTCCAAACGAAACAATTGCCACTATTCCAAGCACATTGAAAAGCAAGGGCATATTTACCAACAAGTGCACATATTTCGGATGTATTCCATGCTCAGCAGTATTTTTCGAATCTAAATTGTACTTAATGAAGTTCCAAGGCGTACTTACGAAGTTATTAATACTTAACTGCAACATTTGTAGTTCACCACCGGTAAGATATTTATAATAAAATGAATCACACACTATGAAGAATACTAGTGCAGGTAAAGCGCTAATGCAAAACAGAAGTATGCGTAAATTGAAGTCTCGGAATGTAATAGTTTTTGTGCCCATTCCTCGCAGTAGCCAATGGAATACCATTGGCGCACCATAAACCAAAAAAGTTGGTCTATTAAAAACGCCTGCTACACTAATGCTAGCTACGAGTAATGTGTGCGTGTAGTTGTGAGCTGGCAGGGATTTGCATAAACGCCACATTTTAACGCGCTCACTTATTGATTTCGCATTATCGTAACGTTCTTCCAGCATCTCCTTCTTATAGATAACTGTATTCGTTTTGATCATACATTCGGCGACAAGTGAAAGCATAAGCGAACATAAAGCTAATTCAATGGTATTGGAAAAGGTGCGTGTGCCAAATATCAGCATTACCCAAGAGCTGGAGAGCGCCAGCAGACGTATTTCGTAGTTAAGACTAAACAAACGGCAAATGCGATACAAACTCCAATCGTTGACAAAAGACAGAGCACACATTATTAGTCGCGGAAAAACCAGATAGGTATAACTTCGTAGCAGTTCTATGGCAAAATATTGCCGCATGTACAAGGCGAAAAATTCGAAGAAACTCCATGGAATACGGAGGAGAAGGAATTGTATTGTTATACTGCGCACCGGCATTGTATTATTGAATTCCCAGGTACGGACATGTTCCAGCTGGAAATGATCGCCTATTGAATGAGAAATTATAATAACTTAATAGTTAGTCAACACCATTATATTACCAGTCATAACTTCCACCGATTGAAAGAATTCATCGGGATGTATATAACCCTTTTGAGGTATAAAAACAAGAATTACGCGAAGTAATCCAAAAAAGAGATACGCATACCAGTTTTCATCAGTGTCCCGATGACGCATCCACAGTTGATTAATGTAACGTTTTAATTTCATACCGTTTGATCGTAATTTATTAAAACCAATACAAATAGTTTTTCTGCCATTTGTTTTGAAAAGTGATACTGAAAAAAAATAGTTGCTTATGAACAGATGATTGAGGACAATCCTTAAGAAATCTTTCATAAGCCATTCACAATGGGAAAATTTAATGTTGCATAGATGTTCTATATAAAAAAAAAAACAAAAAAAGATTAAAATAAATAGATTCTTGTCAGGTTTTAAGTGGAAATTATTGTTAGAAAAAAACTTTTTAAAACCAAAATTTACTTGAGCCTGTAGACTTAAAAGTTTCAATATATAAATTAAGATAATAAATTCTCTTCCTGGCTACCCTCACCATCATTTGACATTTTCGAGGACAGCTTGGTCGTCTCTCTTTAGCAGTTATTGCATTTCAGATTCCCACTAGCTAAATGTATACATTGTTGTCTCTTTTTATTTGAGCAAAACAAAATGCCAAATACATAAAAAGGAGGAAATTATAAAGAATTGCTGTCAAAGGCAAATGTTTCTAGGGTGTGTATCGTCCGGATTTCTACTTATTAAAAATATTCAGAAAAATAGTTACAAAGAAATTTTCACCGAGGAGTTGGTAAATAATAAAACTAACTATTTACCGTATTGTTAACTAATAAATAGTGAATGTTATAAGAGAACTGTGAAATGAGTGCACTAGCTGTGAAATTCCTTATTGGAAAATCGGTTGCATATATGTACATGAGCATGCCTCCTATTAATTTTTCAGAGCATAATCATTGAGGAAATATTATTTAAGGATTGCATATTTTTTGATGTACTTAAGATAATTTTTATAGAACTTAAAAATACTGTTAACTATGTTCGAAAGTAACACCTTCGGTTTTCTCTATCCACTCACCAGTTTTCCAGCTTTATAGGCTGCGCCTTGTTCTAACGCAGCATTAATGAAATATTAATGATTAATCGATTTAATAAAAGCATAGAATACGAAAATAACTTGGTCAAAATATTTATTAATTACAAAGTTATGCAAATTTTAATGTCAGGGGTGAATCATTACAAAAATTTCTGCATACATATGTACTCATGGTGTGGATGTATGGATATGGATATTTATATGTACATAAATTAATCTTTTTCTCAAGCAACAAATTTTGAATTAGCTAGTGAGCTCAATTTACATTCTGTGCGATTTTATGTTGTCATGTATGAATGCATAGGCAAGTAGATAGATATAGATGGAAAAATATTTAAGAAATTTAAAAAATTCTAACTATTTTGTGGATTAAAGCTAACAACCTTGACTTTATAAAAGTTAAAAAGCTAATTGGTATAAAATGTGTATGTATGTATAAGATCTTTGCACGATTGTAGGTGTATTAACTCAAAATCCTTAGCTATACACATTTGTATAAACAAACATGTATCATATATATACATAAATTGGTTATAATTTGTTGTAAATATCGATGTAATTTAGAACTTTTAATCCTCAAAAATTCATACATTTACCCGTACATTATATTTGTGTTTCATTTTCATAAACTTTATACTTTATTATTTATTTGGACATACATAACACCACATTCTTTTAACAAATATAATATGTTGGTCTATCCTCTTTAAAAACAAGCTCATAAACACGCCTGCAAAATTCTTTGTAAAGCTGTCTGAATAGTCTTTTAAATGTGTCTTCTAATACTGAAAAAACAATCATTAATGCAATTTAAAAATATTTAATTCAATAAACACTTATTTAAAAATATGTTTTGCCTTTTTCTTCCTTTCGGTAATATTTACAGCAGCTTTTCAAGAAAACCTAACCAACCTCCACAAGATCCAAATTATTCACCAACATTAAACCTTAGAAAAATTTAGTTAAATCTCACATAAAGAAAGTCCTATTATCACTCCATGCGATAATATATTGTACATCCACAAATACTTTTTGCATTTGCAAATCACACATACCACAAAACAAAATTACTAAATTCTTTATCAACGGAATATATTGTGCAAATTTACAACCATAGGCCTATCCGAGACCGCCGTTATGGACGTAATGTCATCCTCGCTACAACAACAACGCATAGTCGTCGAGCAGTTGCGTCGCGAAGCGGCCATTGCGCGTCAACCGGTCACCGAGTCATGTGCTCAAATGATTAAATACATCACAGAGCATGAGCAGGAGGACTACCTTTTGACTGGTTTCTCCAGTCAGAAGGTTAATCCGTTCCGTGAGAAGTCATCTTGTACTACACTATAAATTATTTCCAACAACAATCAGTATGCAAACCAAAAAATTAATTGGTCATTGCCAATATGGAAGTGGAGGGAGGAATACAACAGGAAAGGTGATGATTTGAAGAGATGCAGCGAACAACTACTGACGAGAAACGGGCAAATTTGGATTTGAATTCTTGAAAATAAATAAGTCACTGACTGTATCGACAGTAAAGAACGTGTGAGAGACTGAAGGAATGATAACAAACTTCAATGGGAAAGCAGCTAGCTGGTATATGCTGTTATGCTGTAAGAACAAATGAGTCGTTTGGAGAAATGGTGAACGCATACAATTTGAAATTCTATAATATCTCAAGTACTATTGGACAATTAAGTACACATATTACACGAAAGTAAATTTGACATAATTAAAGAAATTAAATACATATATTATATCTACTTACATATATACACGCGGTTCTGAATATGCACGTTAGCATGTGATGATTATTATATACTTATCCAATCGTCATATAGAACACAACCGATACATATTATATACAGACATATATTTATGTACTATTTATTAATCGAAATTTTGAATATGGTGATATAAAAGAAGTGTGGCAGAAAAAAATTTATAGACTACCAAGTTGAAGACCACCAACAAAACAAAACCACCACAATAGATCACACAGAAATACCACTTATTGAACACATTATCTCCCGAAAAACCGCCCAGAGGACTCATATAATTACATACACACTCATGCATTTACACGGTACAGACTTATACAACAACTAGTGCCATTAGTGCACATTTGCAAAAGTTAATTTCTATTCCGGTGTAAACTAGTTTATAATTACACATATAACTATTCCTATATACTCTATACTGAACCAAAATATTACAAATAAAATATATCTTCATATTGGCAACAAAATAAGTAACAGCAATTATTATTATTTATTTATTTTTTATTTTTTAAAACATTTTCATTATATTATCGTTGACGATCAACCAACTACTTTAATAAGATCTTAAAAACGAAAAAAAAAATGGTAAGAAGTTTGTTGCAATCGGCTTTTTTTCCTATTCATGCAGTAATAGAAAGTGTGAGTAGGTGTAGGAGTTCGTGTAGAACATTGAGTGAGATGAAGGATACTCATAGAATGGTCGAAATACAAAGAAAATATTTTATTACTACTTAACTTAAAAAGCAAAAATAAATAAAATTACACTCAAACCATGGTGGCACTTAGCAACAATGGGAAAGTTAAACGAGATGGATAATATGTGAACAACACAAAAGGAAATGTTTAATTAATATTAACAGCGCCTCATATAATTGCGCATTGATAACCAAAGCAATTTATTATCTAGAAAAACTAACACACAACTTAAAATACTCAATGAAAACATGCATGTACATTTATGCAGCGAACGAGCAGTTTAGGAAAGGAATAGCAAGCAGATTAAAACTGTAGATCACATAAAGTGTGCAACTGCATACCGTGCACGCAATAATAGATAACCGTTAAAGCATACAAATGCTATACTTATTACATATATGAAATGCTTAAATAAAATTAGAACATTAGAAGGCATTTAATTGCATTATTATTCAAAAATTTAAATATCTTAACCGTTAGCAAATACTTTATTCAAACTTATCTAAAATTAAGTACATATATTTATCAAAAGTAACTTTATCTTTATCAAGTAACTTATTCAAATTAAGAAAAAAGAACCATTACAAGCAAAACAATGTTAAGTAAAATGTGAACGACAACAACACATATATGACTAATTTGAAGAGGATTTCCGGTGCATAATTTTAGGCGACATTGGCAATAGGCTTGAGTTGGAGGTCAAAGGCATACATATATATGAAGGTGGGTATTATAGGCATCAAAAATAAGCAAGCATGCATATTTTCCAAACAATTGTCAGTGCAACGTGATTTGCGTAAAACAAACCAAGGCGCAAAAATATATCTATGCCCAACATTAATCAAACACCTCAATTCAGTGCATATTCTTTGATTTAGTTTATTCAATTTTTTATTCCTGCCCGCCTTATTTGCGTCTAGTGCTTCGAGAAATAATGAACACATCCGTTGAATTGATATATATTTTATGTAATAAGCGCTCGAATAAATAGTTGATAAAAAAAACGTAAGATTGTGATAAGTTTTACTGCAAGTAACATTAAGTTAACAGTCCAATATCAGTGCATACACGCATGTATGTATGTACGTAAGTATATGTATATTTTTATAAGGCTATGTGTTGTAAATTTGTTAGTTTGTGTATGTGTATAGAGCTCCTCTTAAATTGTTGCCAAACTCTTGAACATTTCTTCCATACTAAACTCTACTATTCCAAAACAATCGAAAAACGAGATTATTATGAAAAAAAAAAAATAAAATCGCCAATTTCTTGTCCTCAATGAGTTTTACTCACTTCCGCTTGATAGGTATGTAGATGTGCGCGGTTATACTAATCGATCTACACTTGGTGATCGATAACGATAAATGTTATAAGCTAAAGATTTTTTCGACAGCAACGAAGAGGGTAAGATTAATAAGACCCTTAATTAAAAATTAGAGTGCACAATAACAAATGTTACTAATTATTCTCATTAGAACGTTTTGAATATATTTTTTTTCTCTGATTTTTAGTTACGTATGTATGTGTAAGTGCTATGTAATTTTCTTTGTATATTTTCATAGAAATCAACTATGCTTCCATTTATTTTAAAGTTCTGAGTAATGCAATGCCACAACTCCAAAAACAAAAACAAAAAAATCATCAAAAAAAAAAAAAGAAATGAAAAGAATTTGGTAAAGTATGTTAGGCGACAAATGTCAAACTGCAGTGACATTTGTTGCAATGGAGTGTAAATGTTAGGAAATCCTTTTAAATGTCATTGTTGTCGTTCCGTTTATTAAAAACTTAAATATACATGCATATAAATATATATAATTAAAACTAAAAAAATATATAAAGTATTATATAAGTATATAAGTAACGAGCAACATTATAAAATATTATTTTGAAGAGTACCAACCGATTATTAAAAAAATAAAAAATAAATATATATATATATATTATGAAGCCAAATATCAATTTATGGCCTTAAATGTAATGCGTTACAACAAGGTGATAAATGTATCGAATATCACTTGTTCGAAAACTTATATAAAAAATCGAATATAGAAACTATTTATATAATAAAAGATGATGAATATAAAAAATAATATTAAAAGTACCACCAAAAAACATATTTAAAATTAAAATATTTATTTAAATTTGAAATGCGATGTAGTGCAAATTACGCGCTACATTAAAAAAAAAACAAATAAAATAAAATAATAATAATAAACGACGTTACTCAATGCAAATTTATAATACAAACTTATGGATGTATAATCAAATGTATGGTTACTTAATTTACATTTCAAACTCTTAAGGAGATTGCATGAAATTTTTCTTCAAAATGTTTTTTTCCGGAAAGACAAATATCAAATATACAAATTATTAATGCAATATTTATTCGAACAAATTAAATACATTTTCTTGTAATTGCTTAATATTGAATCGTTGAAAATGATGGAATTCGTAACATAACTAAATGAATTTCCAATAGCAACAGAAATAACACCACATTCACCAAAATACCAATGAATAACCGTTTGCTTGGATTCAAATAAAATTTAGATGTGTTACCTAGTGGAACTCAGAAAAAGTATTTATTGTTTCATTCGGGAAGGGTAGAAAGCATTTAATGGGTTAAGTGTAGAGAAAAAATTATTTGCATTTTCCTTTGTTAATATAAGAATACGTAGAAATGATGTCCATATTACAGCAACTATGTAGATGCTATTTAGTAACAATATCAATCGCAATCTCTATCTCTAGACTTGAGCAAAGAGCTGCCTATTATTGCGAGAACTTAAAGCCATTCACTAGAACGATTTGGATTTATAAAAATGAAAAGAACAAACTTTTGTGATTAGTTCATTTTACTGTCCATATATTTCGCAAACTTGATTGCTGTTCCACATTAGCTTTTCGCATACAATGTTCTTTTACATGCAATAGATTGAAAAAAATACGTTAAATACAATACAAATAATTTCATATCGAAATTTGACGAAAACTTGTAATATATTCTATTATTTTATTGAAAATTGTATACGTTATTTCAAACGTGTGTAAGTAGCAGATAACTTAGTAAATTAATAGTTTTTTAATGAGAAATGTGGTAATTAATACATAAGAAATTAATGCATATTTCATCCAGCGCCTCTGCAACTGTCAATCTAACTTTCGTCATCACTACCGGCATTTTGCCGTGGCTTTGGTCCACCAGCACGTTTAGCCATTATAATTTGATCGACCTTCAGAATAGTTGTGGCTGCACCAACTGCATATTTGAGACCCCAATATTTAGCTTGGAATAGATCGAAGACCTGTGTTGTAGTCACATCAATTGTATCTGCTTTCTCAGTCTCAATATTGAAACCAATATTTTTTCCAGTTGATTTTTTATGCGCCAGATACAATGCATTCACAACTTCAGTACCGTTCACGCCGGAGTTTTCAGCTAGGGCTTTTGGGAATACCTCCAGGGCAGTAGCGAATTTACGTACGGCATATTGTTCAAGACCAGGCAAAGTATCGGCGTAGACAGCCAATTGGGAAGCCAATTCAATTTCTGTCGCACCAGCACCTGGCAAATAACGTCCATCACGGGTCAAACACTTAAAGTTGTTTACTCCATCGTCTACTGCGCGTTCAATATCATCCATGAAGTTATCGGTTGCGCCACGAATAACAATTGTAGATATGCGCGCATCTTTGCCCGTATTTCTGAAATTAACAAGTTTTGCAACTTATTAATTAAAAAGAAAAGAGTATATTTATAAATATTTCCTTACCTAAAAACTACAACCGTTGTACCGCCTAATTCTTCAACGCAAACCTTGTCGCAATATCCCAACTCTTCGTTAGTGGGCGTAGTGATGCGAGGCAGAACTGTGGCATTCACTGTACGACTCAGACGGCGCAAATCGAATTTGGAGTTTAGACGGACTGCCATTAAATTATACTTGTTCAGGAAATGCAATGCCATATCACCCACTTTACCGCCACAAACGACTACCTTAATTCCAGCATCTGCTAGAGACTTAATTTGGGATTCCAACAAATTTTCTTCTCCAGCTGAGAAGTTCATTAACTCATCGGCAGATTTGATCAAAACTGTTCCCTTTGTTTCAGTTTGTATGATATCGATGGGGCAGGAGAATACTGCTACTTTGGCTTTTTCTACGCAAGTAATATCACCTTCAACAAAACGTTTGAATACCATACCATGCACAACTTCGGATTTACTTAGACCACTGCCTAATATTTTACAGACACGAATGTTGTCCACATTGAAAGTACCTTGATCAGGCAATATTGCAACACATGCCTTTGCTACTAATTCGGTAAGGAAATCCTCTTGTCCATATTGTTTCGACATAATTGCAGCTTTAAGGCACTCACCGACTTTGTTCAAGTCACGGTAATCTTCGATTTCATGGCAAACCAATTTAGGGAGAATTTCTAATGCTTTTTCCAAAGCTTTTTCATACCCATCAGCAATCTCAGAGGTAGTAATACCTAAACGTAATAGCTCCTCAGCGGCTTCCAGCAAAGCCCCCGCAAAGATCACAACGAAATTAGTGCCATCACCAACTTCAGCATCCTGCATTTGGCTTCCCATGACCATAAGTTTAGCCGCAGGATGTTCTACATCTAATTCTTGCATTATTGTACCAGCGTCACTTGTAACAAATTGTTTGTCAATGTGATTTATAACCATTTTATTCATGCCATTGGGACCGTAAGCAGAACGCATTGTTTGCGCGAATTCCTTACAGGCGGTGATATTACGATAGACGGCCTCTTCCAGACCACTATACATCTATTAGAGTGAATAAAGGGCATTACAAAGTTAACAGTTAGAAACAAAATTATATTAAACAATTATATATTGGTCACACGCTTGAAGTGACTAATGAATAGGCGCAGCCAGCTGTCTTATAAAAGCCGCACGCTTCTTGCTTTTTTTTTTTGATTTCCTTAAGTTAAATTTGAATCAATATTACAAATTATTTAAATTGATGATAGTTTTTACTCACACGAGCGCCATCCTTGAGCATTTGAGCTACTCCTGGAGCTTTTGGTACAGATAAAGCCATTTTTGTTCACAGATTTTTTTAGAAACAATGCTTTGATACAAATGGAATGAAAAACTTGCCGTCTTTAACCTCACACACGCCTGTAAATGACGGATGACTACTACAAAGTTATCATTCAGAATAAATGGAACAAACTGTGAATGAAATAGAGAAAATTCTCGATGGATATGTTGATGCCGGATAACAATAATGAAAAAAAAAAATTTAATAAAATTGAATAAATAAAATGGGTTAAAAAAAATTAAATTAAATTAAATATAATAACAGTAAATAAAGTAATAAAAAGTAAACAAAAATATAAATGAAAATATAAAATAAAATGATGTGAAATAAAAACAAATTGAAATTTTATTAAAATAAAATGAAACAAAGTAAAACATAAGCAAACTTCAATAAAATCAATTATTATAAGATAAAATATATTAGAATAGCCAATAATTTGAATTAAATAATGTTAACCGTATCATCGTCCATCATTGAATAACAAACATCATGTTGTAACGATTTTCATTAAATAAGACGATGTTTTCCCAAATTCCTTAAGTTCGATCATTGAATTGTTATATAACAGTTCCAAAATTTATTTTGAGTTTCGTTGTTGTAAACACACAGTTTACTAGCTATACAACTCTCTATAAATACACAGTTCATTTTTCTGTAAATATGCTCTTTATTTAGCTGCACTTGACATACACGTAGAAGTTGCCTCTGCCGAGTTGCAGACTCAACTAAATATGCTGGTTTGTTGACCTCCGCTCTTATATACCTAACGATTTCTCGCTAACATCTCTCGAAGGCTCTTCTTTGATTGTTTCAATAGCGCATATTCCACATACGGGCCAAGGAACATGCTTTAGTCATCGGCCTCTGCTTCTCACAACACTTTCGTGGTGGCATTTTCGCCACAATATTATATTGATTTTTTTTAGTAGTCAGTCTGCTTTACATTTTCATGAACACAACAAATTCTGCACAATCGATTGTAATTTTTCACGTGAGTTAGCGAAATATGATAGATAAAATCTAATAATAGCAGTAATTTACCTTAATTTTCAGAAAAAAATAGTGCCAAATTCACATATGGTCAAGGAGTGTAGCATAATTTAAGGCTGTTTAACCCCCTAAACCCAAACCTCAAGTAACTCACGGGTACCATATTGCACACACACATATTCACAAATCCTTATCAGCGCGGTTACTTGCCGGAAACGAGTTCCCATTAAGTGCATACACCTATATTCTTTCAAAGTTCGACCAACGTTTACCATCAGCGTTAGCAAAATAGGGCTCGCCGACACTGCCGTATTGGACATTATGGCTGCAAATCTACAGCAGCAACGCTTTATCAACGAACAGCTGCGGCGAGAGGTCAATGTGCCGCGCATACAAACATCAAAGGCCAGCATGTTGTTGATCAAATATATGACGGACCATGAGCCAGAAGATTACCTGATAATGGGATTCGCTAGTAAAAAGGTGAATCCGTTTCGTGAGAAAAAGTCTTGTAGCATTCTGTAAGACTGTTTTTATCTTGTTCAACACAGGCTGCAAATTAAGAAAGCTGCATCAATGAAGTATACTTTATATAAAATAAAAAAAGTAAATTGTTCCTAGAATATACATGTATGTATGTGTGTAAGTAGTTGAATGTTATGAAAATATGAAATTTATGTAAATATCTAATTATGTACTTAGCCTCAGTGTTGTGCTGAAAGCAAACTAAATGAAACTTTTTATAAAACATATTATACATTCTAACTAACCTCAATTCACTGGCAACTAAGAACTATAACGCATTGAAGCGAAAACCGTAAATGAATAATTGTTAAAGATTAACTAACGATCTATGTACTTATAAGCCTAACCATAAAACATGGAAATATTGAATACAAAAATTCACAATGGTTTAAGGATTCAGCTAATGCATGCGCCTAAAAGCGTGCACCCTAAAAAAACAAATTGCTATGGAAAACCTTATACAAAATAAAAACTTGAAAAATTGGCTAACAAAAGTATAACAGTACAATTACAAGAATGTAGTATGAGTAGTTATGAAAACATAATCAATAAATTTACAAAAAAAAAAATGTTATAAAATGCTTTTGTTTAAACTCTTCATAGAGACAGTATTTTGCTTCTTCGAAGTTCAAATTATCATGACTGTTAATTGCACCAGGAGTTGGTTAAAGCATGCACCACACGTGGCCCGATTTCCTCAGTATACTTGTAGGCTTTAGCTTTTAGCATCCTGCTATTCCGAATTTCTCAGTAGGAGCTCACTCCTTAGCTCCAGCCAATATATAATATTGATAGTGTAAAAGGAGGAAGGATTGTCTTGCACCATCTCTAATTTTTTAATATGGAGCTCGCTCTCGAACTCCTTCAAGAGCCATTGAGATTCATGAATATATTTAGGGATATCATACATATATCACCATCCTCCCTATTTCTAAGCATCCTCTCCTCCTACCTTCGGATAGTCAATGGCCTTAACCAAAACCGACCGTGCACGTAAACTGTCTCTGCTACCGTGGGGAGCACCCAAATAGGCATCTTATTCAAGCTGAATCTCCACCAAGGCACATCAGATAGGGAGTACTTGACATGAATCATACCACTCAGCAATACGTGCAACAAATGTGGACAGGACGGCATACAGACAAGCCATTCACCAGGAGTCAGTTAACACCTTCAAAGACTCCTTTGTCGTGAATGCCGTGCTCGGAGAAAAATTACCACCCATGCAGACAACGAGCTTGAGATGCCTCGAGAGACCCGCGTGACCTTGGCACGACTTATGTCTGGATACTGTAGCAGGTTGAACTCCAACATATCCAGACTCGACCACAGCATATCCAACGTACGTATGTCCTGCATATGGAGAGTCTGCACACGACACTTATTACCTCTTCACATGCCCCCTTAAGTCGACACATCTAACCCCTCTCTCCCTCGGGTCCAAACCCGTCGAAACGGCACGTTTCCTCTTACAGTAAAGCCATATTCGATCGTGTTGTGTGGCAAGGTGCATCACCTTGTTGAAACCACGTATTTTCTAAGCCGTATGCTGCAAAAAAAAAAACAACATTCGGTTATAACACGACTATAACGCTCCGAATTGACAGTGACAGTCTCACCGTTTTCGTTATCAAAGAAGTAAGATCAAATTTTGTTCGAAAACTCTCCGCCCACAGCTTGGTTGTTATGTGAGCTGGACTTTACATGGATGTAGGACTAAGTCCAAGTACAAGATACGCCAAAATTTGCTGCAAAAAAGTCCCAGTACTTGAGAACGTCGAGAAATAGCCACATGTGGATCTTCGACTAAGTGAGTGATTACAGTAGAAAAACGATGATGCACTGGTCATATCTGTAACCGATCCAGTTCAAATAACTTTAAAAGTTTTTACCAATTGCTTGAGTATTTGAGCGATTATATGCACCATAATCTCCTTTTAGAGCACGAAATCATGTTGGAATCACCGTTTTTGAGGTAGGTTTCAAAAATTTTACCGAGTTTGTCGAAATACAGTCATAACTTTGAAGTCGTAGTTAACTTCATCTACTTTGGAACCAGTGTTAGCACCAACAGAAATGCCAACCTTGAAATCCAACATAGAATCATTCTTGCTGCTTTGGACTGAGTGGGCAATTGAGAAATAAGGTCCTTTCTCGTCGAACAAAAACTAAACTCTGCAAGTTCTTCATAACATCCGTCCTGGCGATGAGTCAGCCTTGGAAGTCTTTGAGAAAAAAGCTTTGCGCATTGGTAACGGCGAATACCGCAGACGATGGAACGATAAGCTGTAGAAGTTATACGTGACATCGATATAGTTCAGGTTATGATGATACAACAGCCTCACATCTATGTGCTGAACTATCCGCGAGCTTTTGCAGATAATCACTCTAGGCGTCTATGAGCTCAACAATTTATTGCAATGTCTGCTGTGTGTTTTGGTTCATTATTGTGTATAATAATCGAATAAACAGCCAATAATCTAAGGGATCGTTGCTCCATTTTCTACTTAAGCACATCAAAATAAATAAATGAGTCCTCTTTATTGAAGCCAAATGAATGAGCTTTTGACAATCTTACAAAAACTTTCAAAAAAGCACAAATAGAATTTTGCAACACTTCCTGCAGTGGCACTGTTGGAAACACAGAAGGAAACAGGCCAAGGGAAGCTATTTCTAAAAAGCTTTCTAACCCAAAATAGATCCAGAAGCCACATAGTAAATTAACCATCCTGCAAAGTTGCAAGGTTTCAAGCAAACGTATCTCAAATAGCCCATAGTAAAGCTTATGATGTTTCTCCTGTGAAATAGAGTCATCTTCATTTTAATGGCTATGTCTGTCCAAATAATCTTTAGGAGATAACTAGGGAGATTTCAACGGTTTGCAGCTCATCAATCAGCAACTTCCTCAAAACTCTTGGAAACCCTTTTCAATTTCCTTCTCTAGGCCATTAGGAAAACTTCAAGCGTGCTGCAAAACAATTAGATTCAGTGCAACACAATCTTGGAGGAATTGTAGTACAGGTCACGCCAAAATATAAACTCTCCCACAGCTGCCGGAAGTGCGCCGGTAGAATCGAATGAAAAAAAACCAAGCGTCTTAGATCAGAGAGCCATAGCCATCTTTGCAGATGGTTCAAAACTTGATAACAAGATGGACTGTGGAATTCACTTTTCAATGTTCTCAGCCTTCAAAGCTAAATTTATTGCAATCATAGAAGCCACCGAATTGCTGCTCGAACTTATGGTCACAGGACAACTTATTACGATATATTCTGAGAGTTAAGTTGAGATTCCATCTCTACATTGCAATAACATTCCGTCAAAAGTGACGATATAATGGTAAAGCACTTCGAGTAAATGTAGATTCGAACACTGTCCTCCTAGGTAACTGCACGGAGGAGGATCAATTCTAATCAACGAACCATGTAGACGATATATTCTGAGTGTAACCATGTCTACGGGAGAGCATACACTAAGACTGGACTTTGCTAAAAAAGAAATAATTAGATTGCTGAATGAGATCACGTTCAACGTTACCAAATATATATGGCCATGGTTGGACGCAAAAGGATCAGCGCATTAAATCCTTATAGGCCGGGTTTCCATCAGCACAACGTCGCGTAATAACCCGTCACTATTTTTTGGAATAAGTTGGACCTACCACTGTCATTGCTCAGCTTTACTCTCCGTGGAATACCAGTTCCTTGGAAAGATAATCGGCCGAACTCCTGCTCTAATTTATGGTGAACGCCTTGATGTTTTCCAAACAAAGGCGTAACATATAATTTGTACTAATCCGCTGTTTTTAATGAGGAGCTTTTATTTCATGTCAAAAATGCACTCGGAGGTGTTGACATTCCATGTCGACGGGCGACGGGCAATGAGAAAGATTAACTTAATTTTTAATTCAAATTAAATTTGTATAATTGGCCGAATAAAATGCTAACCGCTCGGCTATTGCGGCTGTCATTGAGCTAACACATTTGATAAAGTGAAACGAGTCTCACAACGTCCTCGAAATGGACCATAGGCCTCAGTGAGTTGGTTGCTGAAAAAAACGTAGTTAAAACAAATTTGCATCAGGCATGCTGCATGGGACAAAGTAACGTCATTGAACTCAGGTTCATAAGAGAACTACCACCCTAGTGTAGGTACATATACAAAGGGGGTTAACAAAAGTTCGGTGAGTTGGTGACTTTCAATCTGCTTTTTTTAATCTGAAAATACCAAATTCTTTACATTTACTTTATTTTTTCCTTTCAAATTTTAGAACGGTCGGCTAAAATGGAGACGAGAAAACACAAGGTTGCTGATCATAGGTCAGACCAAATTTCACCACCAACGCAAACAGAAATTTGCCATGTTATTCTCTTCGGGTTTCGCCGTAGTTTACAGCCCACACAAATATCCGGTGAAGGACAAATTGCATCTGGAACTATTTCACCATCTTTAAAGACTATTTGTAAGTGGTTCCGAAGATTCCAGACTTGACAAATTTCCGTAGAAGACGAGCCCGGAGAAGGTCGACTAAAATCTTACACTGTTGACGTCACTGCAGCTCTGGTGTATCCCAAAATTGACGAAGACCTAAGATTGGCACAAGAAATGATTGCTAATGAATTGGGCTTGAATGACATGACTGCGACGCGAATATTTAGTAATCATCTGGGGTACACGAAGAATTTTAAATGAGGCACAAAAAGTGGCTCGAGTGCAGTTCGCTCAGTTTTCGCTAACCAAATTCGAAAACAGTCACTCTAAAGTCGTTACTGGCGACAAATCTTGATTCTATAATTATTGTACGATCCAGAAACCAAACAGCAGTCCATGGTCATGACGAACCAACCCGTGAAACTTAAGCAACAAAAATCAGCAGCAAAGTAATGATGTCAGTTTACTACATCCGGATCAGACGGTAACTGCAAAATGGTACACCGAAGACTGCTTACCAAAAATTTCCAAAAATTTGTTGGAAAGAGTAAGAAAGATGATTTTCGGCGCTACTTTTTACAACATGACAACGCGCCATTCCACACTGCTGAAATAAAGATTAATTTTATTGCTATCGCTTGGATCGAAGAAATACGCCCAACACCATATTCGCCGGATATTGCACCTTGTGATTTCTGGTTATTTCGAAAAATTAAAAAAGGATTGAAAAGGAACGGGGAGATAATTAATGCGGTTAATGCTGAACTTCATAAGCTTAAAAAGCACGATTTTAAATACTGTTTTCAGAAAAGGATCTAAAGGCTTAAGAAATGAATTGAAATCATTGGTGATTATGTAGAGAAGATAAAAAGAACAAAGATTTCGAATTAAGACAAAACAAAAAGGATTTTTTCTTTTTATATTCAAATGCACTGCAGTGCGACTTTGCGTTTATAATTCGATTTGGACAAACTGCAGTGCATTTCAAATTTTTAATATTCACATGAAGCACAACAACAAAAGCAAAATACAGTATTTAACCTTTTTGTGTGCGTATGCAATTGAAACGTTCATTTTTACCCCAACCAGGA